TCATAGCTAAATCCATATTTATTCATTACCAATGAAAAATTAATAATTTGAGAATAGCAGGATAATTTATGAATCAACACTGAACGTGTTTAATTTCAAACTCTAGTTAGTGATTTTCTGCACCTTCTTTCCCCTTACAATAGTTTATAACTTGCCTAGTCTGATTTCTCACATGGTCAAAAAAGAACATTATAAAAACTTATAATGTATAAAAAATGTATAACAAATTATAAAAACAATGAACAGATGAGGACTGTTCCACCTTCACAAAACAGGCACCCCTCCCAATACTTACAAAGTGGACAGTTTTGCTGCCATACCTTTAGATTTCTTATTGAAAAGCAGAATATTTGCTGGAATTCTTGTGCTGTAATTGTAACCTTTCTTCTGATAAATACTTTTAAAGAGAGCTATAAGATTCTTATTCTTAGGATTAGTTGTTTCCTATCTAGAGGGCAAGGACAGATGTATTGGACACTTTCTGAGGATACCCAGAAATTTTATTGAAAAGTATTAAAGGCAATGCCAAAGCCACCAGCAAAGCAAGACAAAAATAAATGAGGCAATTTTAATATTAGAAAAGAATGACAATTAGAACTATAATATTCAACTTTATCTCATTTTCCAATTAAAATCCAAGGAATCTAAATTAACATCAAATGTCAGTTAGAGACAGGATGAGAGCAAACAAACTGAGACTTAAACCAAATACGTTGGAAGATATTAGTTGAAAGATAGATCAGGGATTAGGGATCCAATTTATTAGTCAAGTAACTTTTAGTTCTAGTTTTGATTCCTTAACTAAAAGCAATGAACAACACAAAAATAGAAATATTCATTTTAGTATATTTTAAGCCAGGGGTGTCAAACTGCGTCCAGATGCGTCACGGACAGGCCATGCCCACCCAGGCTCCGCAAAGGCAAGAAATGTCAAAATACGTCACGTGACACGATCGAGTTTGACACCTGTGTTTTAAGCACTGATAAAGGGTATGAATTTCAGCAAGTAGCAACACCTGACTGAAATAGGCTGGGAAGCTAAGTAGGGTTGGATCTTGTTAATACTGGATGGGGATCCTCAGACAGTATCAAGCAGTAGGCTAGACTCGTGGGCATCTGTTTCTAAATATGCTTTGTCACAATGCAAGCTCTATTCCAGGGCTTTTCAACCTTTTCACCCATTGTACCACTTTTAGGATATGGCAATATCCGAGTACCACCAGTCGCCTAGCAAAGTGTCAAAAACTTGACCCCCAAAAAAGGGAAAAAAGTGATAAAGTACAGATAGTCCTCAACTTACAACAGTTCGCTTAGTGACTGTTCAGTTACAATGGCACTGAAAAAAGCCCCCCCCCAAGCCACAGCCAAGCAAGACACCTGCCTGCCCACCCGGTGGCGCTCTTCCTCCTCTCGAAGGTTTTCATTGTTGTGAGCATTTCTGTTGAGGATTGGCAGTGGGGGTGGGGTGCTTGGTTTTTATTCCCCCCCGTCTGCTGGGTGGTTGCAGCAGGTTTTGGTCACTTCACATGACCCTGGGACACTGTGACCGTCATAAATATGAATCAGTTGTCAAGCATCTGAATGTAAATCACAAGACCCTGGAGATGCTGCAACATTCCAGCTGATTGGTGCTTCTTCAGGGCTCAGCAGAAGTACCAGGATCAGCGCCGAGCTACAGCTGGAGCCTGTCACTGATCCTGGCGCTTCCACTGAGCCCTGACAGTCCTGAAGAAGCACCAATCAGCTGGAGCCTGGCGCTGATCCTGGCGCTTCCGCTGAGCCCTGACAGTCCCGAAGAAGTACTAATCCTGGTGCTTCCGCTGAGCCCTGACAGCCCTGCAGCTCCAGCCATCTCTCGCTCAGGCTTGTGTGGTGCTGCCACCAGATCAGCTCATTCCCCTCCCCCGCTACCACTTTTCTAGGATGGTCGCGTACCACCTGCCAGGTGCCAATGTACCACAGGTGGTACCCATACCACTGGTTGAAAAGCCCTGCTCTATTCTACCATACTTGTGGGTTGTGACATTGCATGCAAATATGTAAGGTCTAGATTTAATGTTGCAATGGGGCAGTGCATATTTCATCACATAGCCCTATGCAGACAACTACAGCTAAACAGGCAAGTTAAAAAAAATCTTGATATCCTCTAGCAATCATCCAGAATTTCAGCAATAGTTACAGAGGTCCAGCTATGTTCAGTTCTTTCCCCCTACATTTTCATTTTCGATCTCTTTCCAAGAATCCCAAAGCTTGAAAAGAAGTACCGGTACATAAGAATTGTAAAATAGCTGTAGTTGTAGCTGAATACCACTGAAATACAATATTATGTAAATATTGTTGGATTAATAGTTGGATTAATTTTGGCACATGAATTAAGAATGAATTTACTGTACCAAGTTCCTATTTCCCATTTTTCCTCCTGCAGTCTATATGTTTGCTGGGTTAGATCCAGACAATTTTAGAGTATTCTGTGCTATCCACACATTGATCAATTGTAAAATATACTAGAAGGAATTCATTTTTTTGCATTTTTAGGTTTAAACTTGTATCTCTAATATTACTGTGGATCAAAATCTCAGTGTTAAAAATGAACTGCTAGTTTTAAAAATTAGTATTTTAAATATTAGCATAGCTACTACTGCCCAAGGGGTCTTTGGTTCTACTATCTGCTGTATCATGCTAGATGATGAATAACTTTGAAGTTAAGACCAACCTACACAGAGAGACACAACAGCTTTCCATGCATACAGACCCCTAGACATTTTTCAGGAAAGAGGCAACCACATTCATCAGCTTTATCATAGAAAATATAGCATATTGCAAGAACCGTTGGGCAGAGTTACATTATGTTACCAGTGAAAGTCCAGAGCAGGGGTGTCAAACTGGCGGCCCATAGGCCAGTTGCATCATGCACAGGCCACGGCCACCCCAGCTCCACAAAGGCAAAAAATGTTGTGATATGTCACAATATATCATGTGAAGGGATCGAGTTTGATATCTGTGATCCAGAGAATGCAAGCTGAACTACAGCCTTAATTCTTTCTTAGGAGCAATGCTGATGGAGTTAAGAAAGTGTATTTCTTACTAGGCATAAAAGTTAATGCCTCTGTTAAAAGTAGGCATAAGCAGAGAAAGAGCAGCTGGTTAGGGAAAGAAAATTACCACATCTACTCACAGGAAGAGGTATGTAGAATACAAGCATCTCTCTCGTTTAGTGACTGCAAATGGTTCCAGCAAAATGGTCACTAAGTGAACATCACTGGTTACTACCATCTTATTCAGATAAAGTTCTATATAGTATACAGTGCCTGACCCATTTTTTTCCTTTTTGCCCCATCATAGGGCAGAGAGATTGCTTATACAAGTAATCTCTTCCTGAGCTGCTTTTCTCAGCAGCACAAAATGTCCCTAAAAAGTGCAAGTTAACAAGCTCATCCCTATGACTTGAATTAGTTGATTAGAATTTCCAGCTGGCTCCTGCTGCTATGGAAACTGACCAAACCTTAAATCAGTTTCACACAGAAGGCTTTTGTAGTCAGGCACACAGAAATTGGTCTTACATGCACACATTGTTCTGAAAATGAATTTTTTATCCTTGTATTTGTAAATGGTCACCATCCGAGGTAATTGCTAAGCAAGGAGTGGTTGTATTGTGCTTGATTCCTTGGACTTTTTCTGTGCAACAACTCTACCAAAGGCTTTTTGGAACAGAATAATCTGAAGTTTTCTTGTGGTTTATAATTGCTTAATCATAAACTGCTCTGAGTTTTTAGTTTTGAATATAGCATTAAACTTTCTTTTAAATAACATAAAAATAAAACCCACTAACCTGTGGGATTAGGACATCAGAATTGGAGAAGTCCATCATTCTCCACAAGTCTGCTCATTGACTGGCCTTGCTGCCTATGGATCCAGTAGCACCTAGGGCTAGGTTATGCCTCTATAGCAAAAACAGCCCTCTATTGCTCTTTTGAGTTTTCTGGACAAGTGGCAGGTCCAGCTTTATTGTTCAGCTGGGAAAATGGAGTATTTAGATCTTGTTAAAAGGCCACATTGGGTTGTTGTATCTTTTTCTAACATCTTGCTGAAGTGTCATTTAGTTTTTGAGTCTCAAGAGTTTTCCTGATGAGATTATCTACCTGCTTGAGTGAATCACAAATTGCTTATGCAGTTTGGTTCCACAATGACTGCAGAAAGGACAAGTGATTGGCACTTCAGGACCCAATTTTGTTGCCTAACTTTGCAATAAGGTGAGTAACAGACAGGTTGGGCAGGGGTTTCTTTATGTAAGTATCTGTAACCAATATGTTTCTGTTTGAAATATTTCTATATGTACATTTGTGTATTTGTTGACACATATGGGTGATGTGCAGGTTGAGCCAGCTAGATAGTCTTCTGCCTGTGTATATAAAAGATTAAGTGAAAATGGCTATAGTAGCTATGGCCATAGCTATTACAATCATTTAGAATGACCTGATATTCAGAGAATATGAAAAAGCTTTGGCAAATTATACACACTAGAGATATCAGTACTATACAGTGGTAAAATATTGGCATTAAAATCATTACCAATGTATGTTTAAAAGATTTTAGAATTACAAGAATTTAGATGCTAAGATATCAAATATGTATGTTCAGATTTTTTTTAAAACAACAAATTTGATTCTTCAACTGCATACTTTATAGTTCTGTTTTGTGTCTAAATTTCTCCTGCTCAAAAGATATTAATAATCTATAGACTTCATTAAAGTTTATTGGGTTGTCAGCTTCCATGAAATCTGAAAAAAACAGTAATATTTTTCATCTTTTGAGGGGAGTATGTGTATTATCTTAGTTAACTATATTGGTCAGGTAAGATAAAAGATTTGGAAGACTTTAACAAGAGAAAAAACATTGGCTAAGAATGAGATTTAAATGTCTTCCCATCCTCTCAATTGATTCCCATCTGCAAATATTAACCCAGGCAATTACTTTGCAAGAAGTAAACTGAAAAAGACACATTTGCAGTATAGTGTTTAATTCTGCTCTGATTCCGAAAAAGCAGCTAAAATCTATGCCTAAAATTACAGTAATGTTGTATACTTTCAGAAAAAATATACAGTCTGAACTATGAGACAGTTAGACTGATTTTTTTGAACTGAATATACTTAACAATATAATCTTTACATATTTTTCGCATTTGTAACATAATCATTTGATGTTATACTGACCACCAGGAGGCACTACATGACTGGTTTTATCCTACAGCAGCTACTCTCAAATGTGGCAGCTCAGATATTACCCAGGATCACCTTGCTAGCTGGGGAATTCTGGGAGTTGAAGTCCATGCATATGAAAATTGCCAAGGTTGATAAACACTGTCCAACAGTATTGAGACTCACCACTTATCTATGCTTTAATATGCTTACCATTATGGGGAAAAATGCAATGATGAATTGTCAGATCATTTGCTTTCTTTGAATAACAGTAACCGAGAAATATACTTATTTGTGATATCACTATCACAAGCTGGTTGAGTGGGTGTTATTTTAAGACAGAAGCTGCAACTCAGTTTCAGTTGTTAATTTATAGTCTTAGATACCCCAATCCCCCCCCCCAACAAATAAAATGATATTGCTGGACTCTTGTGAGAATTTAGTGAGTTTGCAAGATTCTGGTTTGGGGCAGCAAAAAATGGCCACCTATTTATAGTCCTCTGTATTAGAGGACTAAGACATAACACAAACCCCATGTAACAGGTTCAAATATGTTCAACATGGCACAGAATGTAAAATTTTAAAAAAAAAGATAGAACAGAGCATTTTAAGTAAATCAATGTAAACGTCGTAGGTAGAAATGCCCTTTAACTGTAAACCCAAGAAGCTAAACTCTTAGATTACTTGGTGAGACTGTCACGTACATTACCTGCCACCTGATTCATTTCAAAATGTTCTTCTACTAAAAGACCAGGGAGGTCAAGAAGAGAAGAAATAGTATAGTGAGGAACAGGAAATGTTTCCTTGGGAACTGTTCCAGTTTTATTTATCCAAATGGTTGCCTTTAAACCCGCATTCAACCCTCCTTGGATATCTGTGTCTAAAGAGTCTCCAATCATCACACAGTCCTCAGGCTGAACTCCTAGAAGTTCACAACAGTGAAGGAAAATGGATGGTGATGGTTTCTCTTCTTTCTGCTCTCCTCCAACAACAATTGCATCAAAGAATTCCTGACAGGCACAAGCTTCAATCTTTTCTTTTTGTGTCTCAGTGTCTCCATTTGTCAGCAGAAGCAAAGGGACAACTTTTTTGAGGTCACTGAGGATCTTGTGTGTTTCCTCTGTCAAAGTCAAGTATTGCAGGCGGGTGGTTTTCCAAAGAAAATAACATTCTCTAGCCAGCTTCTGATTGGCTCTTCCTCCCTTTACCTCTTGTATAGCTCCTTCCCAATGCTGGACCCTTAGATCAGTAATAGATATTTTAGATGGATCAAAGCATTCTTTGCACAGCTTGGCTTGGAACTTATCACACACCATGCTAGCTTCTCTTTCAGTGTAGTGATATTCATACTGTAAGATTTTGGTTACCTATGAAAACAGACAAATCAGAACAATGTTAGATTGGCTGAAGTTTACTTCTCCAATTTGATGCCTTCCAGTAGTGCTGGAATCTAACTTCCAAAATTCCTAGCCAACATATGCATACTGGCTAGGAAGTTTGGAAACTGTAATCTAATAGAGTTAGAGCAGTGTTCCCAAGGCTTGACTGTTTGTTACACATGTGGAGTTCAGCTCATAGGATTCCCGGCTAAAAATTGCTAAAGTTGGGAGGCACTGCTGTAGAGTCAAAGGTGAAGACTGTTGCTGATACTATTTAAAATGTCAGTGTTCATCATTTTTTCTTTGACAAGATTGTTTAGTTATGAATTGTTTTTACTATAGACCAGGGGTGTCAAACTCGCAACGTCACGTGACGTGTCATGACATATCGTGACTTTTTCCCCATTGCCGGCAATGGGCGTGGTTTTGGCATGATGCATCGGGCCCGTGGGCCGGCAGTTTGACACCCCTGCTATAGACAAATGAATAAATTACAGAAAAAGCAAATAGAGGAAGATAACGTTTTGTAGTTTTGTATATTTATATGAATGTATAGCCGTACAAACATTTTAAACAATATACAATATTTCTACGCACAAGAATATTTGTACAAACGTGTTTTGGAAAAATGTCAGTAAAGCTAATTAACAATTAGAATTCTAACTGTATTTTCTCCCATAATTGAGTTTCACATAAACATACCCCATGTGTAGAAAATTGTGTGTGGGATGGGAGGGAGGGGGAGGAAGAGGGGGGGGAGAAAGAGAATCAAATCTCTCTGTGCTTCAAGGTGCAATCCACACACACCCTACACATCCATCTGTCAGCTGTTGTTCAAGCTGTTTTGAATCATAGATTTACTGTTCTTCAGAAGACTGCTAAGGTTACATTAAAAAAAATACATATGGTTGAAATGTAAAAAACATGTTTCAAATGTTACCAGCTGTAGGTACGTTTGTAGGTTCCATGAAGCAGCAGGTTCAAATTTATCTAAGTTTCTGAGTCAGGTACAGTATTAACTTGGAGGCCTGTTATATAGTATAAAGAGCTTCTCCTTCTACCTGGGCATCTGAGAACAGAGAAATTTTCTAAAAAAAATGGGCTAAAGCTCACACATAGCAAGTGGCTTTCTCTAGGTGGTGCTATTGAAAATGTTCAATTTTCCCTGCATGGGAGGTTAACTTGACCATGAAAAGACCCTGATCAATGTGCAGTTTGAACTACAGTAAGTCCCTTTTCCGAAAGATAGCAAAGCATGTGGAAAACTTCCTACAGTATATTACTATTACCCTTTTGTTCTACTGATGCACCAGAATTGATGGGGAGCCACAATTTGAATTTAAAGGGCTTTCAAGAGCTAAAATCAACGCCTCTGTGTGTGTGTGTGTGTGTGCTAATCAGCCTCTTCCAACCTCTATTATGTGCTTCCTTTGCTTGTTTAAGTGAGGAAAGAAGAGGTCCAAATGGAAACTACCTCTGCAATGGCTCTCCTGCTTCCAGCGGCGGTGTCGATCAAAGTGTTGTCCAAGTCAAAGAAAAAGGCTTTGATCCCGTGCAACCCATAGCGGCGGCTTTGTCCGGCGCTCGCAAGACCCCGATCTGCAAGCTCTGAGTCTGGTTGGTTCATTTGCTCGCTTGGTTGGCGTAGAAAGGAGAGCGACATCCGAGATCGACGGGACCTCCGTGTCGGTCGCGGTGGCGTCTTCCGCCGCTCGTGCGCGTTAGATTTGCACACTCATTCGTGCACGTTCACTCCTGTATGTCAGGTTGCTCTTTTTTTCCCCCCACGATTCTCTTCCGGCTAATTTGGGGACGCCTGTGAAAACCAATAGAGCAGTGTTTCTCAACCTTGACAATTTTAAGGCATGTGGACTTCAACTCCCAGAATTCCACAGCCAGCATTGCTGGCTGTGGAATTCTGGGAGTTGAAGTCCACATGCCTTAAAATGGTCAAGATTGAGAAACACTGCAATAGAGAAAGCTCGAATTTAGTTTTTGCTTTTGACACATCGCATTCTGGTCCTCTCTCCCACACCTATTCATTCACACATTCAGGATTTGCTCCTCTTTTGAGTTCTTGTTTTTTAGGAACGTGTTAATGCTTGGAGTTTTCAGTAGCTTCCTTAATGCAAGGCGAAGGAGCCCAAGAGAGTCTCCTTTGCTGATATTAACCGCCTACTAATTGTAATTGAAAAATTAAGCTGGGTCCGTCCTGCTTAATACGTGGATTAATGATTAAAATGGGAAGTTGAAAAAACATCTCACCAGAAAACATTGGCCAACCGCGTACTTGGAACTCCTGCTCCAGAAAAGTAAATAAATATGTCTGTGGAATCATCAAGCTGCCGAATTTAGCACTGTTTCATTAAAACAATCAACGCCTTACATCTTTCCATTAGTTTCTACGGATAGCTGTCACCCTAGACCAGTGTTTCTCAACCTTGACAATTTTAAGGCATGTGGACTTCAACTCCCAGAATTCCACAGCCAGCATTGCTGGCTGTGGAATTCTGGGAGTTGAAGTCCACATGCCTTAAAATTGTCAAGGTTGAGAAACACTGCCCTAGACTGTTCAAGGTCGTAAAATTCTGATCCCGGAACTAAAAAGACCAGTAAAAGGGATCGTCGCTCACGGGTTTTTACGTATTGTACGTGTAGCCTTTTCTCGCAAGAGACCGGGGGGGGGAGGAGCTAAATAGAACGGGAATTCGATTCGGGTTTCTCCCCGCCCAGTTTTCCAGTCGGTGGAGGAAAAGAGCGCGTGCGCGTCGCTGACGAACGCGGCCTCCGCCCCCCCCCCCCAGCTCCGTAGTTCCTCGCCCCCGCCGGGGAGATTTTGAGCCTACAGATCAGTGGTTGGTGGTCACTTGATGAGTCGGAAGAGGCAGCAGCAGAAGTGAATTCCTGGGGCCCAGGTGCCCGATTGTAGCTAGAGCAAGAGAAGAGAAGGGATATATATATATATATATATATATATATAACCTGGCCTGATAATGCCTTGTCTGATATTCTGCAATGTATGTTTCCAGAAGCCCCAAGGAGCCAGTCTAAATTTCAGCCTGACCAACTGCGGCCATGTTATCTGTGGGCAGTGTCTCCAGAAAGGTAACCTGCCCAGGGGTGGCAGGGCCTGGTAGCCTGCTGATAGCCAAGTGATAACTCATAGGAGCCTCCTCTTTCCATTGGCTGGGTTCACACGTTGTGTTAAGCCGTGGTGTGATTGCTTGCGTTGAACCTGGTTAACTGCGGTTTATTAAACTGCTCGATTAAGCTACACTGACTTATCGGAACAGGTGAATCAAGTCACCATTTTACCAGCAAGATAGGGGGATAAATTCTTGCATTCTTCAAACAGTTCCTTCTGTCCCAGAAACACTGCTTCAGAAATGTAGGAGACCTACTTAACTGAGCATTGGATCAAAAGTTATATTTATTTGTAAATCAAATGGCTGTCTAAATCTTAAATTACTTTGGGTGGCATACAAGTAAAAATTTACCCCCAATACGTTTTTTTTAAAAAGGCAATAACTTGGGGATTAAATCATCCAAAGTATTAATAAAATATTCACAAATATATTTTCTAACCCAATACCTGGAGGAATGAGCTAGGTTTTCAGAGCCCTGAAGATCAGGATAGAGCAACTCAAACAGTCAAGGCTATGTTGTTGTACAATGTACTGGATCTATTGTGACAAGAGTACTTGGGTCTCATCAGATGACACTCGTTTAAAGATGAGACGTGGAGCATGCACGTGCTGTTAATTTTTACTGATGGGCAGAAACAATGGGAGAAATTTATTAGAAGAGCTATCTTAATTGAAGCACAAGGAGTCCTCAATTGCTCTCTGAGCTTGTTTGTCTGCAGGTGTTTCATTGCCCAACTAGATAACATAATGCAATTCACATTGATGTTACCTAGTTGGGTAATGAAAAATCTGCAAACTAACTCAGAAAGCACCAAGAACTCCACAGTTTAACCTTGAGCTACACACCTTCTAATGGGATAGCCAAGATTGCCTACCCCTGGGATAGTTGAAGCAGTCCTTGCATTTCTAGGAGAGTCCCATATCTGGACAAATCCAAATACGTCTATTTTGTTAAGAAATTTTCATATACAGTATTAAGGCCTTGTCTAAATGTCTGTATTGCAATTATGTTTTTAAAAAATCATGATGAATATGCTGCTTTTAAAAAAAAAGCTAAAATAATTCCAAGTCATAATTATGAATGACACAATATGGCGTGCAATTTATTAGATGTTACAATTTATTTGTCAGTAAAATAATACATAGTACAGCATACATTTATGTTGATTTTATAGGTAAAAAAGAAGAGTGTATGATTTGCAGAGCTCCATGTCGTACAATAGTCCTTTCAAAAAAGGTATAGAAAATGTTACAAATAGCTATAGTTCATTCAATAATTACAAAATGATTAAGTAATATATATTTTCATGGCATTACAAAAACAAATACAATGTAACATGCAGTAATGATTGTTATACTAGTATAGGAAAACCCAAGTTCAAGACTTTTCAATTATAGAAGCTCATTGAATGATTTGAATCCTGTCACTTTTCCTCAGGCCAAACTACCTTATATGGGATAGGCACCCAGGAAGTAGCCTTGAAGCAAATATCCAGAAACACTTATTCTTCTGATCATGGATCTGTAGTCAAGTGTATAAATATATGCACATTGGTGGACTATTTACTATCGTTTATACTGACACTTTTGGTAACCTCCTTTAGCACCATGATCCTAATTTGGATATAGTATGGTGCTATGATAGAACTTGCAATATTTTCTTTTTGTGTGATGCTGCACCTATAAATAACCTTTCAGTAGCTTCATAAATATATCTCTAAAGAAATTAGTATCTGTATTACTGAGCAGAGTTGATTATTTTTTAACATTTAAATACTTGAGTTGTATGTAATTATTTATTTGGTAATGTGTAATAATTTGGCTACAGGTGAATTCAGATATCCAGTCACTCTTTATGGGATTAGATGGGTTATGCAGAAAATATTCCAAAGAAATCACACAGGTGAGTTGCTTATGAATTGTTTTCAATATTTTTCATTATGAATACTGTATGCTAGATCAGAAATTCCCAAACATTACTGGTTTATGGTATCCTTAATTTCTCAATAATGTTTTCACAATACCTTGTAATTCCCAAGCTGGGATACCACAATGAATTCAAAGAGCTTAATGCATGTCTGACAGGTGTCTGTGTTTTCCTAGAAAAATTAAAATATTCTGTGACTCTCTGTGAGTTCATTATGAGTTTGCATGGTTTTGGTACCATGGTGCTATATTATAATCTTCATCACCAAACTGACTCCCAGCAAGAAATTAGATTTAGTATTAGTTTGTAATAAGATTAAGTTGTATCAAATAGTTATGATGAATTACCTTTCATGTAACACTAATATTAATAGAAGATAAAATGTAATTTTGATATGTAGTATTGAATGAAGACATAAATGGAAATTTAGGCATGTTTTATCCATCCTGTGTAACGTTTAAATGTAATACAACTGCATTGTACTATTAAACGTACAATATCTCACAAAGTATGAAATTGTAACACAGTAAGAATTTCCTGACTGCAGTCGCCCTCAGCAATCAGAATTTCTTCAGTAAAAAATGGATAGTGCCACAAGTGAAGGTTTTCAGAAAAATCAGGGAATTAGGTGATCCAAACTAAAAATGGTTTAGCTATGCCCAGTGGTAAGGAAAATTAGTTGAACATTATTGTCCATAATTGCAAGTAGTACTGTGGCCTTAAAAAGAAGAAAGACTTGTTTTTTTTAAAAAAATTAAGATGAGAAATTCCTTGTTAAATCAACATCATTTGGCATTCAAGGATTGTATTGTAGTAATAAAAAAAATCAGGATTCATTATTTATTATTCATGTTGAAATGCGTCTACAGATTAAGAGGTTCTTATCAAAGGGAGTGGAGGGAGGAAACGGTGTAGAGCCACATTCCTTCAGAAATTACTTAAGAGCCCTTGAGGGTTTTTCATTTCTTCATAGGAATAAAGCACTTACATCAAATTTTTATGGCATTTCATGTTTTTAGGAATGTTTGCATTCTGGCTAAGCTCACATTTTATACTGAGCCTTAATGTGGTTTTAGCTTAACATGTAACTTGTTCAGTATATTATGGCTTAGCATATATGAATTAGAAATATTGTGGTCTATGCAGTAACATAATACCTTAGCATAATGCGTACTTTGAGTATCCATTTTATCTACAGGTGATCAGTTCATTAAATTCATGTTAGTACAGTATTATATTTGTATATGGCATGCAGTTTAGGATGAAACATTTCTGAAAGTTTGAAGAAAAAAGAATCGTTAATGTTTGCTGCACTCCCCACATCAGTATGGTGCTTGGAAGTTAAATATAAACTTAGGTATTTAATTTCTGCTACATTTGTATTGCTTTCACATAAATATTATAACATTGTTTAGCAATACCAATAATTGTTACTGTGCTTTCTTAATTCTTAGATTGCCCAGTTTCAAGAAAAACACAGAAGACATCTATTAACACATTACAGAGAAAAGGTACTTTGGATTCATGTTGAACTGAATACTGAAGCTTGATGAAGCCACATTTCTGGTGTGATATGCAGTGCTTTTTTTGTAAAAAAAAAAAAAAAAAAAAAGATGCCGGAACTCACGCACATCATACAACCCGCCTTGCCTACCTACAAGGTTCCATCCAAAAAAGGTGCCGGAACTCCGTTCTGGGCATTCTATGACAAAAAAAGCCCTGGTGATATGTATAAATAAAATGTAATGGATCAAATAATGTATTGTACTAAGCCATTGGTATCTCATCTAGCAATTAAAATATTTTGACCGTGTACTGATCCCGTAGTCTGGAATATTTCCATTAAATGACTGTTGAACCATTAAACAACTGAGTTTTATAAACGACAATAAATATTACAGAATTTAAATTACTGAAATAGATTATTCCATTCAGATTACAAAACTGGAAGTGTATCTTAAGAGAGCATCACAACAAATTCAGCATATACAACAATTGCAACAGTGAGTACTTTAATTATGAACATAATCATTGAATTTTGAATAGTTTCAAAGATATTTTGTATTTTCAAATAATCATAATCCATTAGAATAATTCACTTTCCATGAATAGTAACGTTTACTTGAAAACATATATGGACATCCGAATAGACTACTAAACTCAGTGGAATTTACTTTTCAGGTATCATATTTGGCATTGTGCTATTTATATCTAAAGGAAGCAGTACCATTTAAATGTTATTATATTTTTTTAAATTTTCTGCCTTTATATGTTTTTAATACTTCAAGCTGCCTTAAGAAAAACTATACTCGAAGAGCCTTTACAATCAGGGACAAGGCTAATGGAAGTACTGGGTGAATATGGTGAAATGGCAGGCCTAAAGATAAATAAGGAAAAAACCAAAATGCTCGTGAAGAATATGATTAGAACACAGAAAAATGAATTAGCTGATAGATTAGGCATTCAGATCACAAAGAAAATAAGATACTTAGGGATACACTTAACAGCTAGGTGTGTAACAATTAAAAGAGACAATTATGACAAATTAATGGAACAGATTAAAACTGATTTGGACACCTGGACAAATTTCCAGCTCTCTTTCATGGGTAGAATTGCCGTAATTAAAATGAACGTACTACCCAAAATATTATTTCTATTTCAGTGTATACCAATTAGATTAGAAAAGGAATTCTTTCGAAATTTCAACCAATCCATACTTAAATTCATCTGGCAAGGAAAAAAAATCAAGGATTAAATTAAAATTATTACAGGATGCTAAGGAAAGGGGGGGTCTTGGCCTCCCCAACCTGGAAAAATACTATCAATCTACAATTCTACTATGGGTGCGGGATTGGATTGGAAAATCGGAGATTATTAAAATTGGAAGGTCATGACATGCAGACTGGATGGCATGCCATGTTATGGGACGAGAAACATAAAGTTCACCAGTACTTCCGGAGGCACTACATCAGACGGGCGTTAATAGACTAAAATCCGGCAACAGAATTATAGGAAAGTTCCCAATTGGATTTCAACACTAGAAATGTATATACACCCAAGGTTCATTCAGTTGGGGAAAGTAATAACCTATAAAAACATACTAGATGAGAGAGGAGAATTAAAATCTAGGAAAAATCTTCAAGATGCAGGGATAGAATTAGAATGATGGGCATACTTCCAACTACAAGCAAGATATAGGAAAGACAAAAAAGAGTGGGGTATAAAAATAGAACCGACAGAACTAGATAAAATTTTATTAGGTCCTGAGGATAAAATGATTAAAAAAATATATCACTTTCTTTTAGACCAGGCAATGTATGAAGAACAGGTCAAGGAGATCATGTTAATTTGGAGTAGGGATTTTGGTTTCAGTATCGACCTGCATATTTGGCAAGAACTGTGGGAAAGAAATAGGAAACTCACTCTAGCTACCTCGTACAAGGAAAATCTTTACAAGATGTTCTATAGATGGCACTCCCACCCGTAAGGTTAGCCAAAAATGGGTTCAAATATCTCACCTTTATGCTGGAAATGTAAATCAGCAATAGGATCATATTACCATATGTGGTGGGAATGCCCAAAGGCTCGTGAGTATTGGAACAGGACACGAAGTTGGTTGAAAGATATATTACTATTGGACTTAGAGTTAAAACCTGAACTCTTCTTGTTGGGAATAACTACAGAGAAATACGATAAGGGAACAATCTATTTGCTGTTACACATCTTGACTGCAGCTAGGCTTGTGTTTGCGCAAAAATGGAAGAGCAAAGAAATTCCCACAGAGGAAGAGTTACTATATAAAATATTAGCATGTGCGGAAATGGACAGGCTCACAATGGTATTGAAAGACAAATGTGGATCAGTTTATTTCGAAACGTGGGATAAATTTTACCGCTGGAGGGATTCGAGGAAGATGGTTGGGATTAAAGACTAGTGTTAAGATAGAAATATATGTTATTTTGGAATAAGTACTGTATATAAAACTTAGATGTATGTATGTAAAATGTGGAATAATTTGATAAGAATGTATATACTGGAATGTCACGTTATATCCAATGTTTTTTAATTGTATTATAAATAAAATTTTGTAAAAAAAAAATTTTTTTTTAAAAAAGAAAAACTATAGCCTTGGTGGCAAAGAAATAAATAATTACCTAGTTCATCCTAAATGAATTTTAAAAGTGAGGTTGAAACCCATTGTGATGAAGATAAAAAGCATGTTGCCATATATTATTACCATGCTCCAATTATTCCATTATTTGAAATTTAAAATTTCTATATATGTATTTGTATATATAATATTTATAATATATAAACTTTAAAAAATAAACTTAAATATTTTATACAAGCTTAATATTTTTACCTTATTCAATTATTTAAATATTCAACATCTTTTATCAGTCGGATTTCATCAAAGGAGGTAGAAGTGCCACCTTCAGTAAGGAAAGTAAGTTTTTTTTTCTTCTTTATATACCAAGATACAAATAGTTCCAGTTACCATTCTATGCTTAAATGCTAGATCAGCTTTGTGGAAAAAAATCTCTGTTATTATTTATTATTTTATTTATTTTATTATTTAAATTTATATACCACCCTATCTCCCTTACGGGACTCAGGGCGGTGAACAGGCAATAATAAAAATCACAATAAATATTAAATAAAAAGCCTGCTCTAAAATACCCCATATAAAAACCCCTACCAAAACACAATCAAAACTACGCCAGGCCGGCCGCATGGAATAGATGGGTTTTCAAGGATACCTTCTATCTTTATTTCTTAAAGGCATACATGCTGATGTGATATATTGAACTTTGATCACTGATCGTTTGAAAAGCAAACTATGACAGTTTAGCACTTCCCATGCTGCTGCTGTCTTCTACACAAATATATATAGTAATTGTGGCTGTACCTTTTGTTTATACTCGGAACTGTTCAAATTACATATGAGGTATAAGACGGGACTATAAAATTGACAGCTTTTACATTTTCTTTCTATCTATAGTCCAGTGATGGCGAACCTTTTAGAGACCGAGTGCCCAAACTGCAACCCAAAACTCACTTAAGTATTGTTGGGTGCCAGGTGGGCATGGCCCATTGGGTGGGTGCGGCCCATTGGGTGGGCGTGGCTGTGGTGCTAACGGCAGACTGGGTGGGACTAAAAAGTTCAATCAATCAATTCCAACTCTGCGAGATCTTTTTTTTCCCCACGAAAAGTTGAAATTGATTGAACCTTTTTTTTTTTTTTGCACACGACGGCGGAGGCCTAAAGTGAAAAGGTTTTATAAAACCCAGCTGAAGGCCTAGGACTGGGGCGACAGTGCGCGTGCCCACAGAGAGGGCTCTGCGTGCCACCTGTGGCACACGTGCCATAGGTTCGCCACCACTGCTATAGTCTGTTGCTTGAATTTAACTAGAAAACTAGTATTTGGTAACAGTGCTGCAGTTGAAATGAATGTATGGTTAATTCACTCATATTTAGTTTAAAAATTTGCCTACACTACGTTAAATTATTTCATGGAAAGAAACCTGCACATAATGGTTTCTTGTTTTTAACTGCAAACTGGAAAAGTTTCAGCTGATAGACTTTGATATTTGTATGTTCTGTATATATATCATGCTATCTTGTTTGGATGTAAACGGTATTGTACAAAATACAGAAAAGTTATAAGGATAAGCAAAAGAAATAGAGGCTTGAAATAAGAAGAGGAAAAGGTGTAATTAAAGTTTATTTAACTGATCCTTATTTAGCAGACTAGAATGCTAAATAAGCTTTTGCTTGGGTATCTCTCTGGAATAATGGGCATGTTTATTGCATCCAAAATAGTTCAGATTAAGCTATTTAATTTATCTTGCCTGTTTTTGAGGCTCTCATCTCCTCTAACCGATCATGACTTTTTCAGTCTTTCCCTCATTGTCTGTATACAAAAGTGCACACATATTCACATCCTCCCTTTGCTCCTCATACTTTCTAAGTTGTAGTCTTCCATATGTCTAGGACGTCATTAGATGGGTCCAGTGATATTAACTCTTCCAGCTATCAAGGCTTTAGTGTCAATTGAGGCTTTCACATACAGTATTATGTTTTAGCAATATAGTGAACGTACCTTGCAACTCTATATTTTGTTGCCTGCAGTCCACCAACTAGGAGACATATGTAGCATACAGAATGTTTAGATTTTGATTGTTACAGATTCTTGTTAGAAGATATTATAGCAGAGGTAGGAAATAAGTTATTGTTGAGCCCGTTAAAAATCCTGCTCTGTTCTTGTGATTTATCATCATCTTGTGATTAATGAAACCTAGTAATAATCCTTTTTGAAAAAAGCTGTACAGTTAAAAAGTTCTAAATTCTGTAGCAAGGAAGCAAGAAACACAATAATATGAAATAATTACTTTTACTCTGGGTTTTTAGTTTATTATATTGTAAATATTTCTGAATTATATGTAGACTGAAACAGCATCTGGCCCAACAAGGATATCACTGATAAGTCCACCGCAGAATGGACATATGGGTAAGAGTAAATATTGTTTATTTGTTGAGATTGAACAAGTTTAGCATTTCATAATAATTCTTTTTTTCCTATATGTTTCATATTCTGCTGTCTGCTCCATGGCATTTAGTGAAGGATGGATGGATGGGTAGATATTACTAATTTTGTTTAATGATCAGGATTTAAAAAAGAGAAAAAGTACAGCTACAAATATGGTAAATAGAATAAAGAAATTATATAACAGTGAGTAAATAGAATGAAATAAATTATATAATAGTGCACACTATTATTTAGTCAAATTGTTAGATAAAATTTGTGTCCCAGTCCAAAAGGAGAAGCAAATATTCAAGTTATAGTAAAATAATTTGACAATATAAACATAAATCTTAATAGTCATAGCAACTTCATTTAAGTTCCCATATAGGAGTCCTAGGGCTGGGTTATTGAATCCGGCCCTAAAAAAGAACCTTAATTGTGATAGAGAAGTTAACAAGCAGATATAAGTTGATTTCTGCACTCAGACATTCAGTGTCCAGTTTGAGCTGCAGTCATATATTGCAATTTCTGAGGTCATGTGAGGTCCTTTGCTTAATGATCTGTGTAGTCCTCATTTAACAATGGCATCTGGGACTACTGGAACTGCTGATACTAAGCAACACCATTATGTGATATTGCGCTTTACGGCCACGTACCTTTGCCATGACAATTCCAATTCCAATTGCTGTCATAAGCCCAGGTCTACATATTATGTATATGTATAATAATGTATTTTCATTGTTGTGTTTGGTCGCCATTTTATATTTTATATATTGGGTATGTTTTAATGTTATGTGAAGGAGTTTTAATTTATCATTTGCTTGTCTATTGTATGCTGCCCAGAATCACGCTATTTGAGTTGGGCAGCACTATAAATTATTAAACGAATATATGCACTCAATGATTCTGTATCTTGCAAGATCACATCTTGGTATTGAAAAACCTTTATTGAAGCTCATAAACATAGAAACCTAAAAAAGGATGGGATCCTTTAATGATTATGGAGAGGTCTGTGCTAACATAAGATCTGATGCACTTACTCCAAATAATTTTTGAAGTTTGCAATATATTTAATATATTAAGTTAATCTGGAATATTATTTATAGGTAGTGTTACATGCAGAAGTTCTCAATTATCTGGAATGACATTTCAAAGAAACCCAGCAGGATATGTAAGGTAAAATAAACTGCAGTGGGATTCAAAAAGGGGTATCTTTTCTCATTTGGTATTTAATGCTTATTTCTGCTGCCCATAGCAGAAGGTTTGATTGGCTTTGGTTTATTAAGATTTCTTGACAGAATCAGTATACTGTGAAATGTCAGGCAATGAGTTTTATGAAAACAGGTACTACTATCTATATTTTTCCTTTATAATTATTGAATTAAATATAATTACTGAATTAAACAGAAACTTTCCTTCAACTATTAGCATCTTTCTTTTGGCTTATTTGAATTTATAGCAGTAAGTCTACTGCATAAAAGAAATAAAGTTTTAGTGTCACTATATTCTCTAACACAGGTGTCCCCAACCTACAGTATGGGCCGCAGCCCGGTACCGGGCTGCAGGGTCTTGGCCAGCGGGCCGCAGAAATGGCTGACTAGGATGCATACCCGTGGGCACGCATTTCCCCCCACTCATGCCCGCAGCCCCGTTTGCCTATGCACGTGGGCGCAAACGGACGCTAGCGTAAAGTGGGCCGCTAGAATGGGTGTGTGTGCGTGGCCCATTCACGTATGCATGAACGGGCATTAGCCACTGCAGGGGTGCGTAGCTGTTCACAACACGCATGGTACCAGCGCATGCTGCATGCATGAATGTGGCCACTAGTACTGCGCCAGTGGACGTGGCCTTGCTTGCATGCGTGCACGCACACAATAATTTGGAAGCTCTCCCCTCTGGGCCGCGAGCCCAGAAAGGTTGGAGAACTCTGCTCTAACAGGACTGTTCCCATTATATCTATTTTGTCATTTCCTGAATAATGACATTTCTCAATTATTCAGTTTGAAATAATGGAACAAGTACACCGCTACTGTAGTTAAAATATGTATTCTGCTTTCACTGCTACATAATGTTCTTGGTCATTTTATTACTAGATCATCTCCATTAAAAATGCTCAACAGTGGGAATTCTTACATGTCGCCTTTTGTATCATCGCAAAATAGTAGAAATCATATTCCAAATACTATTGGACAGAAATCTACTCAGCATTATCAGTCCACATCTGCATCTTCACTCTCATCTGGGATAAAACACCCAATCACTCTTGTTAACCTTTTACAAAGGCAGCATTTAGGTAAGTGAATTCCATGAAGAAGTAGAAATAATCCTAGCCAACATTAACTTGCTGTTTGGTGTAAAATGTAATCTTTGGGACAATGGTAATACGCTCTGATATTGACAAGTGATTGTGTCTTTGTTTAAAAATACTGGATATTTATCTGGGCTTCAGCATCATCATATTGTATTATGACTCTTATTTGTCTAGTGAGATGTTGTTTTCCCTTTTCCTGCCCCTTCTGCAACCGTTACACGTCTTCCAAATCTGCTTTGAAAGGTTTTCTAATCTTTTGGAATAGATTTGGAGAAGAGGATAAAAGGGATACTCATTTTGCCAATGATGTTTGTTTGTTCTCCTTACTGCAGATTCAATCTTGAATGCAGTCACCTGCTGCTTCTGCAACTAACCTATCTTGTATTTAGGCAGACATGGCCTTGCCTACAAGATGCAAAGTAATATTTATTGTTTATGTACCGAAGTTAAAAAAAAGAATCAAAGCTGCCACAGTAAAGATTTACAGCTATGATTGCAGGATTGAATCTGAGTTGGTCACCGGAACCAGAGGTTTGTTCCTGGAGATTGAGAAAGGTTGCATATTAACAGAGGGATATAATCAAGATCATGTGAAGTATTAATACCACTTTACAAGGCCTTGGTAAGGCCACACATGGAATACTGCATCCAGTTTTGGTCGCCACGATGTAAAAAAGATGTTGAGACTTTAGAAAGAGTGCAGAGAAGAGCAACAAAGATGATTAGGGGACTGGAGGCTAAAACATATGAAGAATGGTTGCGGGAATTGGGTAAGTCTAATTTAATGAAAAAAAGGACTAGGGCATGACACGATAGCAGTGTTCCAATATTGCAGGGGTTGCCACAAAGAAGAGAGAGTCAACCTATTCTCCAGAGCACCTGAAGACAGGACACGAAGCAATGGATGGAAACTAATCAAGAAGAGAAGCAACCTAGAACTAAGGAGACATTTCCTGACAGAACAATTTTTATATTTCTATTTCCTGAGAATGGGCTCCAGCACAAGTCCAAAAGCTTGGAACTTTTGCTTCCGGTAACCGACTGGATCCGATCCTGCAACATTATTTTGGGACACGTATATTTGCCTTCATTTGACACATACTTTTTTTATAAATCAATTATTCATATAAACAGAAATAATTACATCATGTATAGTAAGATCTTGAATTATATGGTTGTTATAGAGTCTGGTTCACAGAAATATGCACATCATTTTGTACTTGACTGATATATATAAAACTTTTGACATATGGCAAGAAGTGTTAATAGATATTTTTTGATAGTTAAATTATCTTCCTGCTATAATTCTTTACATATATTTTACAAATTGAACATTTTTATGATAAATGTGGCTCTTTAAGCATTTGTAGTTAAATGCCTGCCATTTTAATTTGATTTTTGTCATTACTGTCTCAAGGCAACTTGATTACAATTAACAATTCAATATTTCATTTCAGAGATAAACATTCTAGTTTGAATTTCCCTTTTATAGGAGCTACTAATCTTCCTGGATATTCATTACAAAAATAAAATTACCTGCAACCTTCGTTAGAGAGGAAGAACTCATCTATTCTATATTTTATTTTTTTATAGAAATATACAATGCATACCATTCTAATACTTGATCTGGTTTGATTAAACACTATTTGAGATAAATCTTTCTTGTTGTTTCTATTTATTATGCTTTTTCCCCTGGATGATCTTCCCTCCCCCATAATTATGAATTTTTTGCAACTTCACTTTGATCAATTTAACAGATACAGAACTGTTTTTTAAAGTAATATGGCACCCTCTCTTATAAGAGTCACCAAAAGTGATTATATTTTTCATTTTGCCTGTTTGGACTACCTTCTGATTTCCAGTGTTTCTGGCTTCTATCTGAGCCCAAGTCAACTATCTTTGAAGGATTTGAGGCAACCTGAAACATTTTCTGAAACAAATTGCATCTTCTTTACAATGTGAAGCTTTTGCTGAGGCAAATCCAAGCTGCCTCAAAAGGCCTACGATTTGCTGCTATTCAGTCTCAGAGATCCAACTTTTTGGATCTCTGCCCTTTTGGGATGGTTAATAAATCTCAAGGAATGGGCCAATTTACTAATATTGGGAAGGTGAAAAAGACATTCTGTTTTAAATTCTACTCTTCGACACATTTGCTCTTGAATTTTTCACAGATATGTTCAATAAATATTTGGAAATATTGTAGTAAAGCAGCCCCATTAGAACAGAGGAATGAAATTTGTTTATCATTTAACAGGAATGCAAATCATTAACAGAGGGATGCAGTATGTTTAGTCTCAAAGAATATTACAAAAAAGGCCAAAGGCCAAAAATATTTTGTACTGGGTTGGGCATTTTTTGCCCAAAGAAGTCTGCAGCCAAAAAAATGTCCAATTCAGTACTGCTACAATGATGGAGAGGTGATATTTTCAAAGGTTTATTGAACGTGTGTGAAAAATTCAACAGCCTATGTTTCAAAGAATAGGAAGTAAAGTCAGGACTTCAAGTGCTAGAATTTAATGGAATTATACTTAGACTGTAGTTCACTTATTCATTCACTGGCTGAATTACAGTATATTCCTTGACATTTACCATTTATGGGGTAGAATTATCAATTGATTATGAATGATTAGAATAAAAGCATCTACAACTAAACTACACAAAGTAAGCATTGTCAAGTTCGTGTGTTTCATACTTTATTTTTGAGTTTTGTTTTGTTTTGTTTTTCTATTCAAGAAAAATGTCAGGCACTGTTTTTCAGTTAAACTTAAAATGACTTCCTGGTGATGAGAAGAAGGTGGGGATTGGCTGGGTGCTAGAAAACTTGTAGAGGGTTGAAGCCATAGTGCTCCAATTTACCTTGTTCTGTTGGTAGAATTTGTCAGAATGTTTTATGCTCTTGGATTTTAGTTTTCACCTAAATCTTGCTTGTAAAATGAATAATATTGGAAACTATTGCATCAGTCATGCAGTTACTGTAAATATTCGTCACAAATGTGTGTGTGTGTGTGTGTGTGAAAGAGTGTATGTCTGTGTGTCTGTCTGCTTTTGAGTCAGTATTGATTCCTGATGACTGTCTGGACTAGTCTGAGCATTTGGCAAGATTTCCTCTTGCCAAATGCTCAAACTAGTTTGCTTTTGTCTTCCTAAGCTGAGAGAATGAGTGGTCCAAGATCACTGAGCTGGCTTCATGCCTAATACAGAACTAGAATTCATGGTCTCCTGGTTCTAGCCTGGTGCCTTAATCACCACACCAAAATGACTCTCCATTACAAACTTGCATCTCTCTCTATTAATGAAATATGCAAGAATCTCTCATCTGCTCTGTCGGTGTGACAGGTATTAGTTCACTGCCCAAAGAATGCTTGTTAAGATCAAAAACTGCATGTGCACTTCTACAGATATGCAGGAACAAAACCAATCTACTTGCTTATTCGCTCCTAAATGTACAATGGAAATGGAAAAGTACACAGAGATAATAAAGTTACCTTATCTTCAATCTTGTTTTTTCTCTAAGAACACAAAGGAGGGGAAATGTTAAAATAGGAGCGGCATTGGCTTTTGGGTGCAATTCAGTGTGCTGGTTGTCCCTTTTAAAGCCCTTCATGGTTCAGGGTCTGGATATCCATGGGTCTGCTTTCCTGAATATCTGTCCATAGATCAAGCAAGTGAGCTTTCTTTATGTCCCCATTCCTCAAATGTTCATTCAATCCTTCTTTTTAGCATTTAGGGAGTTGACTAAAATCTGGTTATTTAAACAGATCCTGAGGTCTAAATGATTGTTTTTCCCCTCTCGAGTGATTGGAATTATTTATTATGTTTTTCTGATGATATTTAATGCCTGGGTTTTATATAGGCAATTTTATTGATTTGTTTGCATGACTGTATATTGTCTTTTGCTTTTATCCCAGTGGGAATTGTACATCATTCAGAATTCCTTTGGATTGGACAAGCCTATAGCCTTATACTATAATTAACATCAAATAAAGTATGTGCTTTTTGTTGATCTTTTTTTTTTATAGATATTTTATTGGTTTTTAACTATAACAATCTCCAGTGCCTGGTGTACAGCGTGTTGTCTTGGTTTATATTTTAACAAGAAAAAAAGGACAGTAATAATTAATTAGCAGTCAATAATGATTAAATTTGATAATTCCATAGTTAATATATTAATTAATGATACATTTCTTTGATCTTCCCTTCTCCCATTTGTATTTTCCTTCTTCAACCTTAGCCAAAATATAATTCTTAATATTTTCAATATATAAATGATTAGGTATAGGAATTTTTTATTTTTATACAAATAACAATAATCTCTGTATATAACATTTTTTTCAGCTTATATTATTCTCATAACCATCATCTCATTAGTTCAGCATACATCCTATTTTTATAATTTTTGTTCGCTTAGATTCCCTTATATTCAATCTTAAAAATCACACACAAGCTATTATTTCATTTGATCCTTTTCAATACAATTGAGAAGACTCAATAAAATTGAGATTCAGGCCTTCATCAGCATCAATATATATTAATTACACTGTCAAAATAACAGCAACAGATTTTGCTGTCTGGCTGGTGCTATAAAGAATTAATTTGCTTTCATAACTATAAAAGCAAGCAATAAAATACTGATAACATAGTTACTCCAAATATTTCTTACATACTCCACTTGTACAGTGGAGAAATTGTTATTTCATGATGATGTAATCATGTTGTAACTTTTCAGTCGGTACCTATTTCTAAATAGCTGGTTGAGGAATATTAGGCAGTGATTAAAGTGTTTCTTTGACCTGCCTTAGGCTGAGTGAAACTTGCGTCAAGACTAAGATTGATTCTCCACGACATTTACTGTTAATCTGAATGATGTAATATAAATGGGAAGTATCATCCAAATCAGCGACTATAAGACAAAGCACTCACATTAGTTTGCAACTGTTGTTGGAGATAAGTTTTATTCTAGTTTTATATTGCTACCACTTTTTAAAAAGAAATTACCTGGAAAGAAGCCCCTTGGGCTGGTATATATATTATGTTCTACAAGTAACCCTCAATTTAGGACCTTAAAGGAGCCTGCCCATTATGGTTACAAGTGGTGACAGCCATTAAGTGAGATGGCCTAGCTCAGGGGTAGGCAACCTTGGCTCCTTTATGACTCATGGACTTCAACTCCCAGGAACTCTCAGGAATTCTGGGAGTTGAAGTCCATGAGTCATAAAAGAGCCGAGGTTGCCTACCCCTGGCCTAGCTTAATGAACTCCATTCCCTGCTGTTCCTGATGTGGTCATGGAGCAATCACATGGCTCATTAAGCAGACCACAGGGTGCTACATGAGTGCGGGATGCCCAGGGTGACCTAGCATAGGCCCAGGCCTGCCTATCCCAGGCCTTCTAAGGTGTCCCCCACCCCCAAGACACCCCGTGCTTCACTTCCTGCCCTTCAGAGGTCCCCATAGCTTTTGAGCCTGCTTTCTGCTGCCTGAGTCCTTATAGGCCTTTAATCCCCCACTGATTCCCTGCAGGGATTGGGCTTCCTCCATCACCCAACACACACTTCCCTTTTGAAGAGCTACAGAGCTTTCTGTAGCATTGCTCAGACCACATTAGGGAAGCAGAATTTATTGTTTAATTGCTTGGCCATACAGTGCAATTCCAGAAGAGGTCATCATTTCCCAAGTGACAACAATTCAAAATGGCTGCTCAGAATATGGCGGCTGCTTCCAGAATTGCACTACATAGCTACACAACAAGCAATCTATTTTGTTTCCATAACCCAAGCTCTGGAGATCTTTAAAAAGTAAGTAAGGAGGAGGATGTGGGCCCGGTGGGCTGGGAAGCAGGCCTGAGGCGGGGGGCAATGGGATAGAGATGGGAGGGCAGTCTGGCAGTATCCCTGTGGTCAGAAAGGGCAAATAACTGGGAGTGCTGCAGCGGCCATAACTTTGGAACCAGGTCATAAGTAGCTTTGGGGGGGATCCTCCGTAACTTTGAATGTTGCTAAGTGACCAGTCTTTAAGCGAAGACTACCTGGAAGTGCAACTGGAGCTCTAATTATCATTTATAGATGCAAATTCTGAGACAATATTTATAGATATTTTTTTTAAAAAAAAGATTATATGACTGGGTATTATTACTGACATTTGTTGTTGTTAGTTGCGAAGTCGTGTCCGACCCATTGCGACCCCATGGACACGTTCCTCCAGGTCTTCCTGTCTTCTACCATCTTCTGGAGTCCATTTAAGCTCACGCCTACTGCTTCAGTGACTCCATCCAGCCACCTCATTCTCTGTTGTCCCGTTCTTCTATTGCCCTCCATCTTTCCCAGCATTAGGCTCTTCTCCAGTGAGTCCTTCCTTCTCATTAGGTGGCCAAAGTACTTGAGTTTCAACTTCAGGATCTGGCCTTCTAAAGACTGACATACACAGCTGTAATTCTAAATAATATGTTTTTAAAAATGTATTTCAGAGATGATATACCTTTGCCTCAGCTCAACATAATTAAGCTTGGTCCCACACACAAATTCATACATATTCAGGAAAATATGCTAAATTACTGGGGCACAAGGTTCACTGAACACTGATTTACAATCAAGTAAATGCGTATAGGTTTGTGCTACAAACTCCTCTACAACTTCTTCTCATCAATCTAAATTCGCCGTGTTTTTCATATTGTGTTACATACTCAATTTCAAAAGCAGATACAGAATTTTAACATTCATGTTATTGAGTTGACAGAAAAAAAAAAGTTCCATAGAGTCCTTCCATTAAAGAAGGAAGAAACCTTTTATTTTAATCAATCGGCAGAGTTTCAGGCTGTTTACTTTGCACTCATTTTGGCTTCTAGCATTACAATCTTCCTCAAATGATTTATTTTCTTCTTGGAAGAAAGTTCTGCTCTTTTACCACAGATTAAGTAATTCGTACTCCCAGAGGCAGTTGTGTAATCAATACACACCAGGATGTAGCGTGTGAAGACTAGTGATTCATGACTGTTTTCTCAGCACTTTTTTCTTTATTGAGCAAGAGAAAGGGGCCAGCTAATAAACTGACTGCACAAAACTAGAGCTGCCTTTTGAAAGGATTCTTGAGAAGGCAGAGACTGCTGGCAAGAGAAAAGAATGGCTGAAGAAAGTAACAGTTTACTGCAACAAATTAATAAGCTATTTGATGAGAATAAAGACAACAAGGATGAAGAGCTTTTTGTTACTTTCAAAGGAGTTTTATATCCTAATCGCCTTTGTAGTGCAGAAACTTTTGAAGCCCTGGAAACTATGGAAGCAAGAAAGGATGATATGCTGGTCATTGCTTATCCCAAATGTGGTGAGTATCTATTCTTTCTTTCTTTCTTTCCTTCTTTCTTTCTTTCTTTCTTTCTTTCTTTCTTTCTTTCTTTCTTTCTTTCTTTCTTTCTTTCTTTCTTTCGCAAGGGAAAGAGGAACATTATAGCTTTTTTATCACTTTTTTCAAGTTTATCCCCCATTTTTCTGTCTCGGAGATAATCTCAAGTTTATCTGCAATATATAGACTTCCCCAAAATGACATCCTGGAAATACCTTGAGTTTCAATTGTCATCTCCCTCAGCTATATGGTGGGAGGGTAGCATTTATCAATCCAAAAAACAAATCTAGAAGGAATGTGTTTGGGGAAGGCTGGACAATGGCTGGGCACCAAGTGAAACTGCTCAGCTTTTTGTGATCCTAGAAGTCAATGAATAATTTGCAAAAGCTGCATGTTATATTCTGTTAAAAATTTAACCAAACAAAATACTTTTATTTTTGTGTCCATCCCTCAAAAGTAATGTAAATATGCTTGAGGATGGCATTTACAAAATTTAGATCGTATGATGTCTTACCCTGTTAACTGATCATTTGGGGGGTTTTTTGGCTAAGAAGGACCACCATAGAGGTAGTCCTTGATTTGCAAACATTCATTAGTAACTGTTTGCAGTTATAATAGCACAGAAAAAAGTGAGTTGCAACTGGTCCTCATGCATATGACCGTTGCAGCATCCCCACAGTCATGTTATCAAAGTTCAGATGCTTGGCAATCTGCATGTATTTACAATTGCAGCATTCTGGGATCATGTGATTGTGATTCGTGACGTGCAGTCAATGGAGGAAGCTGGATTCGCTTACCAGCCGCATTAATTACTTAATTACAGTGATTCACTTAACAACTCTGGCAAAAATGGTTGCAAAATCAGATACATCTCACTTAACAATTGCCTTGCTTAGCAACAGAAATTCTGGCCTCATTTGTAATTGTTCGTTAGGACTATCTATATGCAGGGTTTTGTTTTTTTTGTTTTGTTTTTTAAAAAAGCATGTTTTCAGACAGGCTGGCCCCAATCCTTTAAAAAAAAAAATTGGTTTGAAGCTAACTACACCTAATTGAATGCAAAATTTAATTTTTAGAAAAATATTATTTATCAGGAAATAATTTAACAAATATTCCTACCGTAGTTATATCAAGAAAGCTTTTCTGTTGGCTGGACATTGTAATGAGGATATGGTTGGCTGGATCCCAGAGTCATATGTAAGAAGGCAGTGTAGAAATTGGAAAAATAAAGGAAAAATAACACAAGCTTGTATATTGTGGGCCCTAACTCCTGGAACTGGATGAATGACTAGACTGAATTGAGAAGCTTGTGTGTTGAAAAGGCAGGAATTCAGACCGAGAGTACTCCTTGATTGCTCCTTGCCCCTGGCACCACAGGGAGCCAAAGCACTCTCAGTTGTTCCTGTCACTATGAATAGTGCAAAACAGGGACAGCCTGGCCACAGTAATTCAGACTTTGGTCATTGACCACATTCCAACAAAGCGGAACTGCCTCTCTGAATGACATACAACTTCCGAAGATGGCAAAATGCAGTTTCTAGATAACACCCAGAACTCAAGCAAATATTATGGCGTTTATAGAATGTTTTGCCTTTCCGTGCCTTTGGCTCCTGGGCTTCTTTGAAGAGACAAAGAAGCCCTTTGATATTTTTCTCAGTTGTCCCTCAATGGATTTATTTTCTTACATAAAATGAGACAGATCCACACCATAAGGATTACTATTGAGGCCTGGAACAAAGACCTGTATGCAAACAATTTAATTTTTCTTTTGCATGAAGTGGGAAGCAAGATTTGGGGCAGCTCAAGTTAAAGCAATGGTTCTTTGCTTTTGTTCTCAGCATTTTAAAGTTGGCAGATTTAAGGATGGTTGTGGATCGTCTTCAGGCTGCTGTTGGACTGGGAAGTGGAAGAAATGGTGGGGTCAGGATACTATAGAGAACCTCCTGTGACACATCTACTGTAAATCTACTGCAATCTTGCACTAAGGCTGTTTGAACATTTTATCCCAGTTGGTGACTTAGAGGTCTTCCCCAAATTCAGCACCATGTACTTAAAAAAGGAATCAACAGAGGTGCTGTCTCACCTTTGACCTTTAGAGGACCTATGAAAAAGAGGCAAGGGAAGGAAGAAAAGAGAAAAGATGACGTTTCGTAAAGAGGTAAGGAAGGTATTGAAAGCACCAGGAGATGATGATGGTGGTGATGCCTCCTTGGGAAGGACTCAGTAGGTGAATAAAAATGCCAAATCCAGTCTAAACATCTGGCTGACAGTGCAGCCAACCATAATAATAATAATAATTTTATTAAATTTGTATGCTGCCCAACTCTCAACGACTCAATGTGAAGATAGAATAACAGTAAAATGGATGCATGGATGGAGCAATTATAAGAGCACAAATGCCTACAAACCCCAAGAAGGCACCTGACTCAGCCTCTACTGGTGCTACTGGTTGAACTCTAGCTAGTATGGGCTGTGTATATCAGGATCACTGCCTGCTTGTCACTTGGATCTCGGGTGAAACAGCAAACCTGAGATTCACTTTCTAGTTACTCACTTTCTACCAAAAGTGAATAAATATTAAGTATTATATCCAACTTTTAAGTTTTATATCCAAGCAGTGTCAACACATCACAAAATGTACAAGCTAAAGTCTAAATTTTCTAGACTTTTCTCAATCATGGCCCAGTGGTGGTTGGCATGCTTCCCTGGATTCAAGAAAACATGTTTGGGTTTGTGCTCGTGGTTATAAGGTTAATGCAATCTGTAATCTAAATGCAGCTTACCTGTTTTCTCTTGTAGGTACCAACTGGGTATTTCAAATTCTAACTGAAATGGTAGCTGCAATTTCTAGTAATAAGGAGTTATCACTACCAAAACACCACTTATTGCTTGAATTTGGAGGCCCAGAAAAATTCCTGGTCAGTATGAATTCAGTCTTTGCCTAGAATAATATAAGTGGTTAAATAAGCTGGATAATTTATCCTGCTTCAACATATGGCAGCACCAGAGCTGAGTTTAACTGATTGGACCCTAGAGTCCTGGTTGTAAGCTACACTGAGGATCTGAAAAAAATATTCTTGTGTAAGAAAATGCCAGATTGTCGTGAGCCAGAAAAAGCGACATATATGCATTCATGTAAGTCATCAGGAAGTGAAGTCAGACCTGAAGATGATTTTATTTTTATTTGACAATCTACAGCACAGCTCCAATATATATTACTGCATTGTTTTGATAGAGTTAGAATCTTTGGATTTATGAGCCTGTTCTAGATGAGGGTTAAAGAAACAGAAAATCTGACAGAGATACTGAGATGCAAATTCTGTTTAAAAGCCTTTCAAAGTTACCGTATTTTACTTAGCCATTCCAAGGGTTTTGAAAGAATGTACTTCTAACTAACCAGCCTAATCTCCAGTCTGGTTTTATGTTTTGGTATGTTTGTGGAATTGCTTTGTGTATGCAAAAGAAATATGTAAGTTGAGCTGCCTCTCCAAAGCAGAAGGCAGGCCAGGAGACTTGGGTTACAGACAGAGGAGATTTGGGTGGTCATTAATACCATCTACATAACAAAGAAGCTAATGTGGATTTGCTAATGCAGTTATGTTTGCAGCAAACTGAACAGGTAATCCTCAGTTATGATCACAATTGAGCCCAAAATTCTTCAGCAGAATTTTAGCATCTTTTGGTTTTATTTCAGAAAATGAAAGAACAACCATCTCCCCGTTATTTTGTAACTCATCTCCATTATGATAACATTCCAAAATCCTTTCTGGAGAACAAAGTGAAGGTAGGGAACCAATTTCACTGTAAGTACAATTGTCCAACAGAATTACCTGGTCTCATCTCAATATATAGATACTAAATATTATACATTTCTGAAGGTCACAAAAAATTTAGCTCTCCTATATCCTCAACATGGTTAAAAGCAATACTTCTATTATGATCGATGAATTAAACCATAATATAAATAATCATATCTTTTTCTTCAATATTTATCCAAAGTAATTGAAATTCTGAAGATTTCTTCAATTAAGAATGTTATTGAGACATACACTCAACATATGTACCATATATTGCTGTTCCCATTTTCTCTCTCTCTTTCTTTCTTTCTTTCTTTCTTTCTTTCTTTCTTTCTTTCTTTCTTTCTTTCTTTCTTTCTTTCTTTCTTTCTTTCTTTCTTTCTTTCTTTCTTTCTCATTCATTCATTCATTCATTCATTCATTCATTCATTCATTCATTCATTTTAAATGCTGCCCATCTCCCTGTTAAGGCAACTTGATGTAGCTATCTTCCTTGTAGTATAGAAATACCTCTTCAATCTTACTGGGAGTAAAGGGGTGGTAATCTTGCATATTATAACAACTTCCCACTCTGAATTTGCATTTATATCAAAAAAAGCCTGAAGCTCCAAGGCTCTATTGCTCTGATATCTTAAAATGTTGCTACATATTGTGAAGTTGAATAAAATAATTGAAGCCAAGTCAAAAACATTTGATTACATTTACATGTACCTACATTTACAATTAACTTTAAATAAAATGTTTTTGTCTTGGCCCCATATATAACTGTTTAGGGTGTGATTCTTGGTATGCCACCATTCAAAGGCCAAATGCAAATTTTGGCATAGAAAACACAACCCTGATTTATGTCTTAGTTTCATTATATAAACACTGCGAATATCTACTGGCCGTTTATAATTCTTTTAAGTCATGTTTAATTATCATATATCTGTTTAAACAGATGCTAGTGGTATTTCGAAATCCCAAAGATACAGCTACATCCTATTATCATTTTTGCAACAAAAATCCTTTGCTTCCTAATGCCAGTTCCTGGGATGATTTCTTTCAAAAGTTTATGAATGGTGAAGGTATGTTATCTTTATTTATTTATAAAATATATCGGTTGCCATCTTACCATAAGGTAATTCTGGGTGGCTTACAGTAAAAAAAATATTTACATTAAACATAAATTAAAACCAAAGATTAAAATATAAGGGCACGTGAAGAGCGCACGGGGAGGGGAGTGGGGAGGGAGGTGGGATCTGTTGTTACTACTCAATCAACCATCTCCAATATGCTGTTTCCCCATTGGTGCCCCAGGCCAACTGGCAGAGCCAGCTCTTTAGGCCCTGACAAAAGGATAAGAGGACTAGGGCCAACCTCACATCCTCACAATCTCAATATGTATTCCTTTTGATCTTCTCAAAGCCTCTCATCTATAATTCTGTTTAGCCTGAAAATATTTTCCGTTAAATTTAAATCTGGTCCTATCTAAGTGATTGCATAGATTAGAACATAACTTTTTTTTCTTTAATACAAAGGAAGTATTTTATTGGGACTTGAACTTCAAAAAGCTGTCCATTATTTATGTTTTTAGCATATTTCTTATTTCAAGCTAGTTCTTCTTATACATTTTAATACCAGTAGTAAAACTAACATGCATGAGCAACTTTAAAATGGCAATTTATTTAATTCATATGGTATATAAGAAGCAAACTGCTGTAGCAGTCCTGGTTACATAAGTAAAACTACGAATGAGTATATTTGCAATAGGTATACTTTTACTACTTTGGAAAACATTCCAAAGATAATTTGTGTATAAATATTGTAGAAACCACATCATGGCACAGATAGTGATTGTATATATTTCATTTCAGTGGCGTGGAATTCCTACTTTGACCATGCTCTTGCTTGGGACAAATATATGGATGAAGAAAATATAATGATAATCACTTATGAAGAACTGAAAGAAGTAAGCCTTTTAGAAATTAAAATAATATTTGTATTAGACATTCATTTTTCTGTAGCCTGTAGCTATGGAGGAAACCTTCTCCAGCATTCCCCAATACAAGCAACTTCTATATGTGCAAATAGGCATCTATGGGAAAGGGCAAGAAAGGAGCAAGTGTCAAAAAAGTGCATTATAGTATCTTTTTTTTTTTGAAACACATTTTATTGGTTTTTTAAATCTTAGAAAAAGGTGCTCAGGACACACCGTGGTGTTTGGGTAATCACACATTCAACAATAGAACCATATATAAATAAGTCAACTCAATACATTCAATGCCCCCTCTCTATTTCCCTCAACTAGCATAATACGTTTAACATATTCCATTTCTGATTTAAAGTTCTATAACTGCTAAACCTGTTTTAAAACTTTATAAATTTACAATTACCATAATCAAATTTAACTTTAAATCAACAAGTTATCAATTCAGGTATCCCTTACAGCTATATTCTAATTCTTAATCTCTTATATCCCTCTTTTTATCACAAGTCTCATTTATTTCTTCTTCCACTACACAATACATATCCTAATTAAGATAAAATATTAATCTATCCTATACATATATACTCCATCAGTCGATCAATCTCTTTAAAATAACAAAATAGTGTAAGTCTTAACTCATTTCAATTCATTAAACAAAATTCAAATTTCATGTGCCTTATCACATCTATATTATAATACAGAAACATCATCCTACTAATTTAAAACAATTACTTATTAAAACAATCCAACTCTAAAAAGCCAACATTTTTTCCATTCCAATACTTAATGATTTTCATGAAAATAAACCTATTATTCCAAAAAATACATTCTTAATCTAATTAAAACAACTGTTCTAATAATCAACCCTTTTTTTTACTTCTAACTCTAAATCTTAATCCTTAAAACTGTCCATAAATCAACATTGCCTTTAAATCCATTACACAATTTTAAATTTCTCTTTTCAGTCTTATTCTGGCTTTTTTTCTGTGCCAGGCAGGTTTCCATAACCAAGCTTCCCTTTCAGCCAATAGATCTCTCTTCATTGCTTGTAGTGCCCTTTGAAACAATAGGAACCCCATCCTCTGCATTAGGCATCTATTTCTCTCATCCTTAAAGCTTCGTTGCTTTAAAGTTTCCAGTCTCAATCTTTGATTCTTCTGGTCCTCAAAGCTGTAGATGGAATATTTATAAGATAAAATAACTTCATTTATCTCAGTTGTTTCCTTTTCTAGTATGTTTTGATTTATAGAATAGTCAGATGTAGTCTGGAGATCAGTTTGAAGATTTGAAGTACAGCTTCTGGATCTTAATTCTGTAGTAAACTCTTTCACTGTAGCACATATTTCTGCAGTGGCCTCATAAATCTTTTCCAATATAAGTTTACAGTTTAATTGTAAATGAGCTTTCTCCATTTTGGTAGTGATTAAAGAAAGTCTCTTTTTTCTTCTTGTGGAGGCTGTGCTTAATAAAAAATAAACGGTATCCACCCCCACAACTGTCACAGCTGCATCAGCTTATCTTTTCTCTTGAAAAGTAATTTGAAGGTCCATCTATATTCTATTCCATCTCCAAAGAATAGCCAAAAGTTGCAATATTAGATTTTCGCCACTAGATGTCCTCAGTAAGTTGAAAAGAAAACTTTTCCAGACACCATTTTTTCTCCTTTTTTCTTTCTTTTGAAATATAATGTGAAAAAAGAAATAATCTTCCAGCATAAAATGATAGTACAACTCTTAAAAAAAGAAAAAGAATTTTTTTTTCTGTACCCCAAAGCATATGAAAATAAAATATAGTCTTTAAATTTTTTTTGTATTCTTTTGTTCAACGCCTTTCTTCCCAAACATGTAGAAGCTGCTTTTTCTAGCCAGGAAAATAATTCCAACAAGGCTCTTACAGGCAAAAAAAAAAAAGCAAAATAAAATGAAGAGGAGCAGGAAAAAGAAAAAAAAAGTCTCATCCGGATTCACCACAGTGGTTCTTACAGCTTAGATGTTCTTTGACTTGCGGTTTGAAGCGGCAGGTTGATCGGCCATTTTACTGGCCGATCTTCTTCTCCGTTGGCCCTCAGAGATAGCTCGGACAGCTGGAGGAGCCGCCACACCTCCGCAGCCGAGCAAAGCCTCCTCAACAGAAGTCGCACCCTCCAGGGCGACTTTCGACCCGCATAAGGGTCTACCGGCGGAGGGAAACTAGCCGACGAGGAGACAAGTCTCTTCGTACAGCTAGAGGCGCCGCGATCTGGAACTGGAAGTCGCATTATAATATCTTGATGCAAAGCCTATAACTTGTGCCTATTGTCAGGATACAAGTTCAAAAGGATGAAGTTTGCACAATGACATCACCATACATGCATGTCAGTGGTGGGATTCAGCCAGTTCGCACCAGTTTGGCAGAACGAGTAGCTAATTTTTTGTTGCCCAGGCCCAGAACGGACTTCCGGAAGCGGCATCCACACAGAGAACTGGTTGTTCACATATTTGAATCCCACCACTGATGCATGTCCATTTTTTTCACCACTATCATGAATAGTTGCGGACATTCCTGCTTTAGCTGTTCAGACTGATTGCTGTTCAGACTGATCCATATTTATGAGCTGGAATTGGCTCATAAATGGGGAACCCAGCTTAAAAGATCCAAATTTCCTTGCTTTCCCATATAAAATATCCCTGGAGGACAGCATCTGCCAGAAATGGCCAATAGATGCTGGCTGATCCTGTAACATTAATAGAATGATTGGTGAAGCATGCCGGAGTCTATACAGGGTAAAACTACACATTTTGTTGACTGCTTTAGGAGAACAGTGAGGACAACTTTAAGCTGCTTCAGGTATGGTTAGAGATAATGAAGGCAATGGCATGCATTTAAGAGAGTGCAGGGCACAAGTGGGAAAGACTTTCATTTTTTTTATCCTATCAGTATGTGTCATAGGATGACTGGGAAATGAGCTAGGCTGGGTTGACATATAATACTTTGCCACTGTTTGCCACATGTTTTCTTGGTTAATATGATAATCCATAAACTATGCTTTACGAATGGCTAGAATTATTCAACCCACTTAAACCACAAACAAACTTACTTTTAGTGCAGTATAAAAATCTAATCTTGTTCTTGTTTGGTCTCAGTGCTATGCTTTGACTTTTCTGTGTTGCAAAGCTTCATAATTAATATAAAGTGTATTTTCATTATTTAATCTACTTGATATCAAAATTATTTGGGTTAAATATTTTAAAATGAAAATATAAATGGTGTTTCTACAATTAGGGGCAATCCTAATTCAGGCTCTATAAATGCTAATGAGACTGAAGTACATATTAATAATTATATTTGCAAAAATGAAATACATATGTAAATATTTAATATAAACAGCGCAATGTGACCTTCAGAAATTAAAACCTTGTACTATAAACCCTGAAACCCTGAACATAGTAAGTTTCACATCTGCACATCATTTACTTCCTCTCATTAATAAAGACATTAATGCACTATAATACTGTACTGTACTTTTCTACAGCCTGGTTGGGGAATACTGCGAGTTGACGTTCATGCTTTTTACAGTTGCCAATGTTGAGGAACATTGTTCTAACTCATTCCATTCTTGGGTATCAAAGTAGTATACAGGTAGTCCATGCTCAATAACTGTCCCTTTTAGTGATCATTCATTATTAAGGTTCTGAAAATGTAACTTTACAAGTGGTCCTCATACTTAAGACCATCACAGCATCCCCACGATCATGTGATTGAGATTTAGGCCCTTTGCAACTGGAGGGTATTTACAACCTTCACAAAGTCCCATGATCACATTATTTCTTTTTCCATGCTTCACAGCTGGCTTCCAATAAACAGAGTTAATGAAGAAGCCGGCTGTAAAATCCCATCACAATCATGTGATGTCTCCCTTAACAACCATATTGCTTGGCAAACTGAGTTGTGGGTCCCAATTATTATTATTAAATGAAGACTACGTGTATTTGAAATGCTTTTAGAGGTGAAATAATTGATTGTACTATTTTACAGAACTTTCTGGAAGGAGTCAAACAAATTGCTGACTTTTATCAATTCCCTCTCTCTGATGAGATGATTAAGTCTGTTGCAGATAGTGCTACTTTTCAAGAAATGAGCAGGAAATATCCAGAAGTTGTGGGTCAATTTGCTTCTGTTCTTTTCAGAAAAGGTATTATTTATCTCAGGTTTCAAGACAGCTGTTTCTTCAAAGAACACACATGTCCTCTAGTGGACATAATTATTATTAGACGCAAAACTAAGGTTTATGATGTGCTGTAGTATCAGTACTTTGCGGGCCTATTTCAATGTTTTGTTATTCTGCTACATTGCAGAATAGAGGAACAGAAACACTTTAAAAGACCAGCAATGCCTTTTTACTTTTATCATTGTATGTAAAATACAAACCTGATCTAATCTATTTCATTTTTTAAATAAACAGATATAGTCATGAATCCTGCTACCACAGAGGCAACCTAACACCCTTCAAATGTTTTGGACTTTAATTACCCCTATCACCTCATTTGGTTTATTCTCAAGTATCTTAGGCTATAAAGCTTTACTATTTGGAATATCCATTAAATTCAACAGGGCTTATTTCTGAGTACTGTAGAATTATGTATGAATACATTACAAAGCATATAAATTATGCACAATTCCAAATTCCAAAGATGTTTCAAACTATTGAACTTTTATAGATGAGGACATAAATAATTCTTTTTTCATTGATCTTGTACAGGTGAAGTGGGCGATTGGAGAACTTTGTTCACTGAAGCTCAGAGCAAAGAAATGGATGCAAAATTTGAAGCATGTTTAGCTGGGACTAAACTGGGTGCAAAACTAAAATATGATAAATATTGCAAATTTTAAGATATGTACTTTCAAAATAAATTGGGTTTTAGTTATACCTTTTTTAAATGAGAAATTAAATTAATAAACTAATAAAAATAATATATATTTCAAGATTTTTTACTGTTTGGGTTTGCTTTATGTTTACTCAATCTAATTTTAACTTTCAAACAGGAAACAAAGTTTGGGAATCAGCATGTAAATGCTGTAAAGGTGTTATTACAAAATTGTCTTTATTTTTAATAACTGTCATACTTTTAAAAGACAACAATTTTATCCCTTTTGAAACAACATTGTAATTCACAAACACTTTTGTCATATCTAATTCTGCCAAGAGTTAAGAGATTCAACATTTTCTCTTGCTGATATGTTCATTTGACAGAAAATACTGTAGAATAAAGTAGAAGGTATTCTGCTATTCTAGATCTAATCCTTATCATGAGAGAGGGATTGGTTGAAGAAGATACACCTTGGAAAGAAGTATTCATTATATTCCAAAGAGAAACAGCTCAGAAGAGTCAACATTGCATACAAGACATCAGAAGAGAAGATTCTAATGAACTCAACTGGATTTAATCCTTAATGGGAAAAGGGTCTGGGAAGGATAGAAATATGAAAGATAGATATGAAATGCTGAAGGCATAGATGGTCATCGTAAAATAAGCGTGCCCAATTCAACAGAGAGAAAGGATACTAATTTAACATTCAAATGATTATATTTAAACACAAGTGACTAAATTATGAAAATGTTTCATGGTTTTAATTGTTTTTAATTTGTAATGGCTTTTGTTGTTATGTTTTTGGTAAATTTGTGTTTTTTTACTTTGTGCACTATCAAGAGAACATATGCAAGGTGGGTAGCTAAATTTGTTTTTTTAAAGAAGATTTTATTCTGCCTTTTTTTACATACAGTTCAAATCAGCAAATGCTCCTTCCTCCTCCTCTTTTCCCCACAACAACAACCCTGTGAGGTAGTTGGGCAAAGAGATAGTGACTGTCCAAAGTCATCCAGCTATTTTTTCATACCTAAGAACTCACAGTCTCCTGGTTTCCAGGCCAGCACCTTAACCACACCAAACTGGCTCCCTATCTCTCTCTCTCATTTACCAAATAATAAATAAGACTATTCATTTTTTTTGCTTCTGCTGTAAAAATATCTTCAGAACCAGCAAGTTATATTTTTCTCCAGCTTTCCCTAACAAATGTGCAATATATTAACAATAATGACTTTCCATTCAAGATTGCTGCAAAGATTTCTGGGTAATATCTGCAGCATATTTTGTATGCTTGAAACTATTATAATATCTCCTTTCGCAAACACAGTTATCTGTCCCTGCCCACTCATTCATTATCAGAAAACTGAATGAGAGGTTCATACACATCAATGGGTAGAAACATAGGCCATTTTTCAATCATTGATTTAAGCACTACACAACCGTCATTGGCTTTCCATCACCAATCTCCTTCCTGCCTTCTTAGATTCCAAGCTAAGTCATGTTAACCTGATTTCAGGAATAGGTAATTTGGGGGCATTAACTCCCTTTAGCACACCACCAACTGATGCAAAGCACCTCCCCACATCTAATCAACCAAAGAGCACATGGGGTGAACCTAGCATTGTTATACAACTCTACAATTTAGAAACCTCACTAGGAACACTCTAGGCTGGTTACCTACACTTTTATCCCACATGCCATTTGCACATCTCACAAAAAACAAAACAAATTCTAAAGTTTTAAAATAAAATGAAATCTATGGAAAGATGTTCCATAAAATTAAACATTGCCTACAATAATTGCTAAATTCAGCTCAGCAGTATTAATACTTTTTTTTCTAATTTGGGTAATTATAACCGATACACAGAAAACTCAGAGCATAAATAGGGTCCCATGACTGTGAAGCTACTTAGCTCTTATATGGATGGATGATTGAAATTGAGTGAAATTGATTAGCAACCTTGATGCTTTCTTCATTAATTCAGGAGGAAAGTGATCCAAATTGATACAGGGAAACAGAGAATCAACCGTGTCCAATTCAACAGGTCTAATTATTTCTCACAATGAAAAAAATGCAGGAATGCCTTTGGTAGTGGATAAAGATGGATAAAATATGGAATTCTGCTCTCCTATTCTGTACTTCATTGAAAATACAATAATGAGTTAAAAAATAGGGAGCAGTGACAGATATGTAAGGAACTCAAGAAACATTACATGGATGGAAGATCAAATACTGAAAAAGAAAGTGCTGTCTTGGCCTTGATAACCGTAGGACGTGAAGCATGTCTATGTCTTTTATATCTCATCTATCACCATATCTTCAATAGGTCACTTGGCTTGTTTTCCAATATAAACAGATGGCAAAGAATTATCCATTGAACTTTGTCTTCAGAGCAGATTGTTGTTATTGTTGTTCAATCATTAAGTCATGTCTGACTCTTTGTGACCTACGGACCATTGCATTCCAGGTCCCCCCATCTCTTCCACTGTCTCCTGGAGTTAGCCCAAATTCATGTTTGTTGCATCACAAACTCTAACCATCTCGCTCTATACTATCTCTTTATCATTTTGTCTTCAATCTTTCCCAACATCAGGGTCTTTTCCAATGAATTCTCTCATCTCATTAGGTGACCAAAGTATTTGCACTTCAGCTTCACCATCTGTCTTTCAAAAGAATAGTCAGGGTTGATTTCCTTTAGGATTGGCTGAATTGATCTCCTTGTAGTCTAAGGCAGGGGTCCCCAACCCCCGGTCCATGGACCAGTACCAGGATATGGTATGCCAGCAACCGGTCGGCACAAACAAACTGAGGGAAGTTAGCCCAGAGAAGGAAATATTAAAAAGGCAGGAAAATATATTTTTCACCAAAAGGATTTTTAAAAGCATTTTTTGAAAAGCAGAAACCAAACCTGGCCCCAAATTTCTTTGCCCCAAGCAAGAGCCAGCCCTATACAAATGCAGATGTAAGACCATCAGGAAGGTTGGAGCCAGGGAGCTCAAGAAGACAAAGAAACTCTTAAGAGTCATTAGCCCAGCCCCAGGGAAGCAGGAGATGACTTTTGGGACATAATAGGGCTAAACCACAGATACTAAGGCCTAGAAAAGCACTCAGAGTCAGTTCAAAGTTCATGCCACAGGAAGAGGAAACTATTCCAAACAAAAAGCTAGAGGGGGTATAAAAAGCTACTGTCCATGTGCTCAGCCTTTCTTCTCTCCTCTGCTCTTTCCTGAAGAACCATCTTTCTGCTTCTGCAATAAACTGTAACCATCTTCCCAAAGCAGTCGCCATGTTGCTTATTTATTCCTGGCTTGGATGAACCAGGATGATGACTTTACTTCTGACAAAACAAAGCCCCATCTGTAGGATGCAGGCAGCACCCTCGGGTCCATGCAAAAAACTCTCTCCACGGAACCGGTCCCTGGTGCCCAAAAGGTTGGGGACCTCTAGTCTAAGGGAATCTCAAGAGTTTTCTCCAACACCACAATTTGAAAGCATCAATTCTTTGGCACTTGGCTTTCCTTAGCATCCAACTCTCACAGCCATACATAACTACTAGGGAAACCATAGGTTTCACTATACGGACCTTTCGTGGAAAGGTGATGTCTTTGCTTTTTAATATGCTGTCTAGGTTTACCATACTTTCCTCCTAAGTAGGAAGCATCTTTTAATTTCATGGCTGCAGTCACCATCCCCAGTGACCTTGAAGCCCAAGAAAATAAATCTGCCATTGCTTCCATTTCTTCCTCTTCTATTTGGCAGGAAGTGATGAGACCAGATGCCATGATCTTACCTTTTTTAATGCTGAGTTTCAAGCCAACTTTTGCACTTTCCTCTTTCACCCTCATCAAGAGGCTCTTTAGTTCCTCCTCACTTTCTGCCACTAGAGTGCTATTGTCTGCATACCTGGGGCTGTTAATATTTCTCCCAGAAAACTTAATTCTGGCTTGTGGTTCATCTAGCCTGGCATTTTGCATGATGTACTCTGCATATAAGTTAAATAAATAGAGTGACAATATACAACTTTGTGTTGTCTGGTTATGTGTCATTAAATCAATGCCAACTCTTAGCAATCAGATAGATTTTCTGTCTCACATGATCATTCAGGTACAACTACTTTATTCTCCTATATATTGTTAGTGAGATGGGATGGCTGTCATCTGAGTGAAAGGGTGGAGATAGGGACAAATGAAGCATTCAGGTAATTTTTTCACCAATGAGCACAGATGGGCTGTTTTCTGTGACCAGCAGACCTACAAACATATCCCCATGCTCATGTTCTAGAGTCCTGATATCAGAATAGAACTGAAAGTACATCTGTTTCAGGGCTGTTTTCAAGAGGGAAAGGGAGATGGTCTGGAAGGGGGCATTTTTATTTATTTATTTATTTATTAATTAAATTTATATACCGCCCTATCTCCCTTACGGGACTCAGGGCGGTGAACAGGCGATACTAAAAACCACGATAATAAATAAATAGTTTGTTTTAAAATCGAATTAAATAACAGGCCTGTTCTAAAAACACACCCATACAAAAAAACCCACTGAAACATAATCGAACTACGCCAGGCCGGCCGCACGGAATAGATGGGCCTTCAGGGCTCGGCGAAATTGTTTTTTTCAAGACAGAAAGAATTAACAGTGTTCCTCTGTGATCAAGCTATGTGAACGAATTCTTCTAGCCTTTGTTTAACAGGTACTTCAGACATTGACCTTCTCCAGGATCTCTCCCAGCAAGAAGCCAACTATCTCGGAGCTGTTCCAAAGATGCTTTTTCAGGAGACAACTGGACTTTCTTGTTTTTCATCGAAGAGAAAAGAAAAGCTGCCGTTTAAGGAATTCCTCCTCAGCCTGGGAGAGAACGTCTTTTTCTCTTCCTCGTTTTTGTAAACTCAGGTCAGAGGCCAACGCTGTTGCCCACGTTGTCTTTCGGGTTACTCGTCTCGCTAAATTTCATCCAAACATAGTGTTAGAAGTAAGTCTTCATCCTGGTTCATCCAAGCCGGGAATAAATAAGCAAACATGGCGACTGCTTTGGGAAGAAGGTTACAGTTTATTGCAGAAGACAGATGGTCCTTGCAAGAAGCAGCAGAGGAGAAGAAAGAGAGGGAGCACATGGGCAGAAGGTCTTTTTATACCCTCTAGCCCTGCTTGGAGTAGTTTCCTGTTCCTGTGGCATGAACTTTGAGGCTATTTCTGAGTGTTTTTCTAGGCCTTGATATCTGTGGTTTAATCCCATTATCATATCCTGCTTCCCAGGTGTTGGGGCTAATGACTCTTAAGAGCTTGGGTGGGGTATGCAGATTTTCTCTTTGTCTTCTTGATTGCTCTGGCTTCAACTTTCTGATGGTTCCACATCTGCATATGTATAAGACTAGCTACTGCTTTGGGCAAAGAGATGAGGCCAGGTTTGGTTTCTGCTTTTCAAAAAATGCTTTAAAAAAAAATCCTTTTGGTGAACAATATCTTTCTTTCTGCCTTTTTAATATTTCCTTCTCTGGGTTAACTTCCCACAGTAGGAAGCAGAGATGTCTTTTTCTCTTGCACGTTCTTTATCTTATCTTGGGACCCCAAATCCCACCGGCTCCTGTGCTCTCATGCCATCTACTGTATGAGTCAAATCGTGCACAGTAACGTTATCCAAACTGGCACACTCTTCAGGCATCCGGGGTTGGAACCCACCGCCGTGTCTCCCAAGCAGAGCCTTCCTCGTGGCCGAGCAGCTCTCGGTTGGCAGGTCTCCCCGCCTCATTCCCGCGAAGAGAGCGCGAAACATTGACGTTTCAGACGCCCCTTTTTCTACCTCTTCCTGACCCGGCCGCCGGGAACCGCAGGAGGGAGACTTTCGAGAGCGACGGGAGGTGCGGGCACTGCGCTTTCCCGACGGGTGACGTTTCACTTTCGATTTCCCGGCGGGTTTGGCTGGCTTCGCCGAGATTTCGGCTGGGGGCAGGCATAGCCGCGCGAGCCTCGGAGAAACGAAAGTCGAAAGGGACAACGCTTCCTCCCTCGGCTGCGCTCTGCTGGAGGAGAAAGGCGACGGGTCTTCTTCTTCGCGGAGAAAAAGTGTTGGTTCCAGAGCTTCTGCTGCTTCGGTGAGTCTTCAAGAGGCGGAGGACGGGACGGGGGGGCGGGAATAAGCTTCTCGCCATTCCCGGGGGACCGGTAGGACTCCTCAAATTTGGAGACAGCGGCAGCAGCTCTGGAAGGAGGCCCTTACTTGTCTTGAAGATGCTATCGGCTCTGTGTGTGTAGAGTTGGGGAAGGCGAGGGGGTTTCGAGAGCGCGCACTGACATGATTCGCCCATTGCATTTTTCTAAACGAAATCGGCTTACTAAATGAAATCGGCTCGTTCGGGGTTCAAGGGTTCTTGAGGAAGGACTCCCCAACCCACTCGACAGATTTCCCTGGGAAATTTCCGTGTTTTTTTTTTTCCCGGGGCTCCGGTTGATTGCGTTCAAGCGAAGGCTGTCGAATCGTCTGGTAGAGGAAAAAATAGGATAATTTCGATTCCCGCACCCCGTGGAACAGCGTTTCTCAATCCTGTATGGATGTCAACTCACAGCAGCCTAAGGGAGTCTGGGAATTGAAGTCCATATATCTAAAAGTTGCCAAGGTTGAAAAAAACGGGGCTGTAGAGCAGTGTTTCTCAACCTTGACAATTTTAAGGCATGTGGACTTCAACTCCCAGAATTCCACAGCCAGCAATGCTGGCTGTGGAATTCTGGGGGTTGAAGTCCACATGCCTTAAAATTGTCAAGGTTGAGAAACACTGCGGTAGAGGATTGGTCGATGCTGATTTCAATTCCATGTTTGTGAGACTGTTGAAGTGTTATTTTGCATCTTAGGAGCCCATGTTGCCTAGTTAATTTCCCTTTATAAATGGCACATAACTGTGTAACTGAAGTTTGCAGGGTTTTTTTTTTGTTTTTTTGTTTGCTTACACCAATTCTGGGAGTTGAAGTCCATGAGTCATAAAAGAGCCAAGGTTGCCTACCCCTGGCTTACACCCAAAATACAGTTCTGGTCAGAAACAAGCAGCTTAACCTACAGTATAGCAAATCTGATATCTGGATTTTGAAGAAGGCCTTCATTTTGGGTCTGGACAATGTGATGATATGGTAAATTGCAGATAGTAGCCAGGCATGATGGTGAATAATAGTGGCACATTAACAAACAGAATTTTACATGTTTGTTTTTTTTTACTGTTTATTGTATTGTGCACAGAGGGCCACTGTTGGTAGAGATGTTCGTGGACATCCCAGTTCTACTGTATGGTCCTCTGTCTAGCTTAGTTTGACATGGCAAATCAAAGTACAATTCTGTGCATGCTTTGGTATCATTTTTACTGAATTTATTGCAACCTGAATTTGAATGTCAAAATACAGATTTTCAGTATATGTCTTTAGCCTTCATAGAGTAGGAGTAGAGAAGAAAAACAATTTCCAGCAGCTTACATTGGATAGTGATGTAAAGAGTTATTTTGAAAGCTGTATCTACATAAAGATAGAAAGTTTGACATATTAATACAATTAAAATATATTCAAATAATAATAATATATGAATCCAAGGAGTGGATCTATAAGATATTAAGTTCTAAAATGATAAAATGGGAGTGAAGAACTTGTGACCTACTCCCAACATCCCTTATCATTAGATATGGCAATTGGAATCATGCAACAGTTGGAAGGTCACAGGGTCTCCATCCCTTAGAACAGTGGTCCTCAACCTTTCTGGCTCTGTGGACCGGCAGCGACAGTAGCAGTGGTGGTGGCCGGGAGAGGGGAGAGGGGATGGTTCCACACAAGTGGCAGGTGCTCACTGTCACATGCGAAGCTCCATTTGCACAAGCAGCGTGTGTGCACACCGGCAGCTTGTATAAATGGAGCTTTGTGCGCAAGTGCGCGTGCCCGCCGCTTGCACAAGTGGAGTTTTGTCTGCTTGCCTGCTGCTTGTGCGGCCCAGTTCCTAATGGGCCGCAGGCCCGGGATTGGGGACCCTTGTCTTAGAGTAGCAAAATAAGGAGGGAAGAAGAGTGGCAAAATGTATTGTGGCCACAATTTGCCCACTGATAGTCCTTTTTAGGATTAGCTGTGCCCTTTTAGGGAAAAATAATGAAGACAGTATTATAAACGATTGGATAAAGTCACTCAGATGTGATCTGAATTGAACTCTGGCCTGGTAGGTCCTAAGGAGTTGACTATAATTGGATCTTGTTCTGTACCTGGGGAAAGTTTGAGCCTGTGGATCTTGCGGAAGTGGACTGGATTTTCCGGACTTTCAGTATGGCCACTTATAGATTGGCTCCTTGTCCATCCTGATTGATTAAAGCTGCCCAGAAGCTGAAGTGTGACTGGGCCAATTAATCTTTGCTTGAATGGATGGTTCCACTTAGATAGAAGGAGACAGTATGCTCCTTCTCTTCAGGAAGCCATAACTAAATCTAGAAGTGTTAGAGCATTTCTGACCAGTCTGCAACCTTGGAGGAGGACCCCAGATGAAGTAGATCAGGGGTAGTCAACCTTGGCTCTTTTGTGACTCGTGGACTTCAACTCCCAGAATTCCTGAGCCAGCTAAGCTGGCTCAGGAATTCTGGGAATTGAAGTCCACGAGTCATAAAAGAGCCAAGGTTGACTACCCCTGAAGTAGATTATCTCTTCAGTTAGGCTTTAGGCCCCAGTATTGTATGGACAAGGCTGCCGTGCTGCACTTAGCTGACAGGCTCAAAAAGTGAAACTCTCTCAGAATTTAAGAAACATCTTTAATGCTAGTCATAGTAAAACATGTTCCTGAAAACTGTGGTAATGAATCGCAAGGCAGCCTTATAATAAACCAATTAAGATAGAATCTCTTTAAAATATTTCTTTTTCCTGGCCCCCATATCTGGACTGTGCTGTTTCTTCTCATACCAACTAAATTACCCTCCCTGTTTCTCAGTCTCTCATTGATTGCTCTTGTGGATAACCTCTGGGAGGGCCAGAATATGGGTCGTGGAGATGATCTGGTCCTGCATTATTACCTTGGCAATCTTTGATACCGCTGGTCATGGAACCCTTCTGGCCTGCGTTTGGAAATGGGGAAAATACAGTATATCAGTGGTTTTCCTTTCTTTGGGGAAGGTTCCAATTGGTCTTGGTAATAGGGAAAGAGATTAAGTTACATTTTCTTGTGAGGTTCTTGAGATTTCAATGAACATAATAAAAGCCATGCTGTGCTGGATCGGATCCCTTGCTCATCTAGTCCAGTAGTCTGTTTTCACAGTGGCCATCTGCACAAGAAATTCCATAGTCTTCTTGAAGACGGCCTTCAGAGACAATCACACTGCAATCAATTGATTGCCATAACTTCCATGAATTGGTTCAACACTTTTTGAAGCCAACTAAGTTTGTAGCCAGTTCTCCCTAAACTTCTACGTGATGCTATTGGGCAGGCTCATCTACCAGTATGAGTTCAGGTATCAATATTTGATATTTAGTTGTATTATCTCAATACTTGGCTGTTGAGAATCTGTTTCTAGATCAGGAGGCTTTAGGTGTCTGGATTGGGAAGAACAGGCTCAGATTTAACTCTAGTTAAACCGAGTGACTGTAAATTTGTGGGTCCACTATTTACTGTATTGGGAAGCCTTATTCATTATTTAATTTAATTTAATTTAATAATTTAATTTATATACCGCCCTTCTCCCGTAGGACTCAGGGCGGTGCACAGCATATTAAAACAGACAAACAAAATACATCAAAGAACAAAAAANGGGGCACCCACAGAGAAGGCCCTCCCCCTGGGGGTCGCCAGCCTACACTGCTTGGCCGACGGCACCCTGAGGAGGCCCGCTCTGTGGGAGCGTACCGGTCTATGGGAGGGAATCTGTGGCAGAAGGCGGTCTCGGAGGTAGCCAGGTCCAATGCCATGGAGTGCTTTAAAGGTGGTAACTAACACCTTAAAGCGCACCCTGAAGACCACTGGTAACCAGTGCAGCTCGCGCAGCAGCGGTGTCACTCACATCTTAGTTATCTACTGCAACATAATATACATGGGATTACTCTTAAAGAGTATTCAGAATCTGCAACTGGCACAGAATATGGCTGTGCAGGTGATTATGAAAAGATTTAGAAATATTAAAAATATTAGTCCATTGCTATGTTTAGGAAGTTGCTAGTAAATATTCATATTGTGATTTTTTCTTCTTCTAGGTTATAACATGCCTGACAACCATCTTGACCCACATAGATGCATGGCAAAACTTAATGAACATTGTCAGAAGAGCCTTTTAAAATTGGAGTACAAAGACATTGCTGTCACAGGCCCACCTCATGATCGTGTGTAAGTTGATGAAGATTATCCAAAGGTCATAAAAGACCTCTCTCCCTATATGTATGCTGTGGAGCAGGATGTTTTTCATAATAGTAAAAACTGTCCATCTCCCTGACTGTTTATCCCCAACCACTGCTTAATAGCCCCACTATGTAAAACATTTCTGAATTCTTACTTCTCATTAGACTGCTCCAAATTTTCTTCTCTGTACTTTTGTTCTACTTCCCAAATCATATTCCTATTTTGGATAAGAGATGATCCATGTTCTATATAGCTTTATTTATTGTCTACTGATACCGGTTTCTAAATTCCCAAAAAATATTCATCAGCATATAGATCAGTGGTTCTTAAACTGAAGGGGCTAACTAAGGGGATAATTTAGGTATATCCTGGTATAATAGAGCACGCTGGTTTTTTTATGTGGGAATAATGGCATTATTGAGACTGGAAAAAAGGAGTAATTGTGTCAGTTTAGGAACCACTGTTACAGATGTTGTATACCCTGTCCTTGTTTGCTGGCTGCAGCATGTTCCATCAACTTTGCCATTAAGCTAAATGGTTACTAAGTGAACTGTGTGACACACACACACACACACGCGCGCGCGCGCACACACACACACACACAGAGAGATAGAGAGAGATAGAGAGAGAGATTATGAAGATTACTGGTTGCTGCTGTCTGATTCAGATTAAAGTTATCTTATACAGTGTCCTTGGTCGGACTTGGTTTTTCCCCTTCCTTTTTTGCATCCTCACACAACAGAGCGTGCTTAAAAAGCTATCTCTTCCTGAACTGCTTTCTCCACAGAGCAGGGTATCCCTAAAAAGTGCTGACCATAACTTAAGGAGCTCAATTCTATGACTTTAATGAGTTGATAAGAATTCTCTGGCAGGCTGGTCTCTCCTACCTGAAACTGACCAGATCTTAATCAGTTTCATACTGAAGGCTTTTGATCCTCAATGCAGGTGTTAGTCAGATTTGATCCTCAATGCAGGTGTTAGTCAGAAAGTGATTTTTTAAATTATTATTGCTCTCTGTTTGCAAACGGTTGCTAACTGTAGTGGTCACTAAACGAAAAGTGGTTCTATCACTAGTCTTTGTGCCCAGCATTTAGCTAGAAGTATGGTTTCAAGATAGAGACAGGAATGGAAATGTAGTTCAGAGAAAATAGTCTAGTTCTCCTATCAGAATCCCCTACTGGAATTTGGGGAATCTGAGATTTTATTAAAACAACTCCTCCCCTCTGGGTGATTTTAGGAAAAAAAGGAAATAAATGATGGTTGTGTCTTCCAAGACACAACCTGTTGTTAACTTTTGTTAACTTTTTCTGATGATGGAGAAAATAGGAGTCATAGTTGTACAATGGAGTGTATTTTGCAGACGATGCATCTCTCCTCCCTCTTCACAATGTTTTATAAATTACTTTCTTCACTGTAGATTTACTGTAGCAGTTGTAATTGACAAGGTCCAATATAGTCCTGGCACTGGTAAATCCAAGAAAGAAGCAAAATGTCTGGCAGCTGTATCAGCCTGGAGGACCATACAGAACCAAAACAAGGTAAGAGTGCCTACACACGAAGATCTAGACAGCAGGTTCAAGCAACCAGCTTCATATTTTCACTAAGAAAGGCAATATCTTGATTTTGGATAGTTAATGTTTCCTGTCAGTAGAGTGAAGGATCACCTTGTACTTTAATCCAGAGATCCCCAACCTTTTGGTCACCAGGGACCGGTTCCGTGGAGAGAGTTTTTTTCCACGGACTGGAGGATTTGTGTGCTGCCTGCATCCCATGGATGGGGCTTTGCTTGTTTGTGCAGACCGGTTGCTGGTATGCTGCGGCCTGTTACTGGTCCACGGACCAGGGGTTGGGGACCCCTGCTTTAATCTGCCCTCTGCATACATTTCTGTTTGTCATGGAAAAGGAAGCAAACAGCATTGCTATGGCAGGGTCTGCATTTAACAATTAGCTTTTCCAAAACTTGTCTGTGCATAAACCATTCAGTAAAATGTTTCTCTTAAATAGTAATCCCTTCTTTTAAAAAGAAAAGGTATGTCAGTATCATCATGTCACATGATGTTCCCACATTAAAAACAATAGCAACAACAAAAACATTATTAGTTCATTTACCTAACAACCCAGAGTTGCTGGAGTCAGGCAGCATATACATTTAATAAAATATTATTATGGTTCCTCACACATTCAGCCAGATGTTCAGACTGGATTTGGCATTTTTGTCTACCTATCGAGTCTTTTCCAAGGACCAGGGATAGGCAGATAATGATGCTTGATGGTGTTACAGATATCATCACAGGATGTAAGCCAGGGGTTCCCAACCAGGGTGCTCGCACCCCCTGGGGGTACGAGACAATATTCCAGGGGGTGCGAAAACTTGGGTTTAGAAGTTTAAAAATTATAGTGTATATGCATAATTAATTATTTTGAACTTTTGTAAGGGGTGCGAGAATATATCAGAAGCGTTCTAGGGGTGCAGGGTATAGAAAAGGTTGGGAGCCGCTGATGTAAGCTGTTCAAAGGAAAGCTGCCTTTTGCAGTTGATGGTGAATTTGTCAATGGTGTTCAAGTGGTGCTCCAGTTGTTTTGGGATTGCACCCAAGGTACCTGTTACTATTGCTACTACCTTTGCTTGCTTTTGCCACAGTCACTCTATTTCTATTTGCAGGTCTTTGTATTTTGTTATCTTCTCCAGTTCTTTTTCTTCTGTTCTGCTGTCCCCAGGCACTGCCATGTCCACTATCCAGACTTTTTTTTGTCTGTCTTATCAAAAGTTGCTAAGTCTGGGGTGTTATGTGGTGCCTGTCTGTTTGAATTCTAAACTCCCAAAGCAATTTAGCTTCTTCCTTTTCTATGACTTTCTCTATTTTATGGTCCCACCAGTTCTCACTTACAGGCAAATGATATTTCTTGTAGATCTTCAAATGCAACATTGTTCCTACTTTGTCATGTCATTGCTTGTAGTCGGTCAGTGTGATCTTCTTGCAGTATATAATATAATAATAAAACGTTATTATTGTTATAATTATGGTTGTTTGCACACTCAGCCAGATGTTTAGACTAGACCTGGGATAGGCCGATGTATTATTTATACATTTGTGTGATCAAGGGGGAAAATAAGGCAGAAATCCTTTCTTCATGTCAGCCTCATTAAGTAGACCAGACCAGGAAATAAGTCCACGGGAAGGCTAAAACTACATGTATTAAAATTGCCTATAATAATGGAATATTGCAAGACTAATTATGCTGAACCTCCTCTCTCCCCCTTATTCTCCAGTGAACAATGGGGGCATCTGCCTGAGACCCTCTCAAATGTTATTCAATTTTTGTAAACTTAATATTTCAACCCATTTTGCTTTGTTAACATTTCTTGCACACATCTATCAAGGTCTTCTTCTTCACACTCTATATTCCATTATGTTTTCAAATCTAGTCCAAATTCTCATATTATTGCATACATTGGGTTTGAGGGCTATAGATCTTCAAACTGAAATTGATTAGGATAAGCTGACTATTTTGTAGAAATCTGTGCAGCTCGTAAAAAAAAAATACAAGCTTTAATTTAAACAAACTTTGTTATATATTTATATGGTGAGCTTTCTTAATATGTTCTTGTCTATCATAGCCATAAAGAGTAATATGAATTATTTTTCTTTTACTGTTGAGGTTTAGGTCAAGTTTGGAGAATGGCAACAGACAAAGTGGGTAGGGTTTGTCTAGGTTTGGGAGAGGATTAGAAATTTTGCTTTTAAAATACTGTTTAAACTTATTTGAGGAATTAATCTAGTTTTAATGTTTCTCACTTCAATCTGAAAGGCAACTACCAGTTCTCAAAGCTTTAGAACAGGTCTCCATGAGGGTTCAAGGCCATGAGTTGACTACCTCTGCCGTAAAGTCAAATTAGTCATTCCTCAGGCAGCCTTTGGTTAGGACAGGAATGTCCTTTCAGTGATTAACTCCAGGTAGCTGATTCTAAGGAGTGGTACCTATAGGGGAAGGAGTGTTAACCTTTATGCCATATTTCCCGTGTAAACCCTGCCCTTCTTTGAACAGTATGAGGTTTTCAACTTCTGCTAGGTACAGTACTACTTCAGGGGCACATGACCTTATGTGGAAAATAGTAAAAACACAACTCTCTCTTGCTTTTCTCTGTAAAGCAAGATTTCTCAAGGTTGCACAAAAACATTTTCAAATTCCTTCAGACTAACAGATTTATTATGGCAGAAGCTAAAGCTAACTTGATCAAAATTCCATTTCCCCCTTAGGCCTATGGAATATGCATGGAATTATCTCTTCCCCCCCCCCCCCCCCCCCCCCCCCCCNCCCCCCCCCCCCCGGCCAAAGCTTTCTACAGCTTGAGTGATTCTTCAACCCACATACATTTTACATAGTCATGTGGGGTCACAAAGTAGATCTGCCCTTCTTTTCTCATTTTTTCCCCTTGGGTATATATTTGTGACCCATTGTACTTTTTGCTAAATCAGAACAATGCTTTTGCCAAAAATACTGCAATTTATGTTATTATCTCTCTTTGCATGAGATAATAAATTAAGAGCAAGTTATCTGTTCATTGAACAGGAATTCCAAAAACAACCTTACTCTCCTCAAGCAGATTAACTTGTGCTTATTTTTTGTAGGGAGAGCTGGATTCATGTGAACAGCATAAGGAGCCAAAGTTATCCCTTGTTGCAAGTGTACCTGAATTCTCATCCTCAGATTCAATTAACTATGTTTCCATGCTTAATGAATATGCATCAAAGAACAAAGTACGTGTTCAGTATAACTTGATATCTAAAACTGGAATGGACCATAAACCAATGTGAGTTACTGATAATATTTTATCTTGGGGAGTAGGATTGCATTTTTAAAAAAAGAAATTCTCTTGAGATGCGTAGGTGTTATTGAATTGTATTCATAGGAGACAGGTTCACACATTGAGACATATTTTTATTTGACAATGATTTCTTGAATAATGGTAGGATATATGCACTATCCTTAATCATAAACCATGGTTTATAAATCACAGTAGCTGTATTTACAATATCACTCTAAACCCAAATTAAACCTTTTGGCACAGAGAATGTGTGAACCATCAGATGACATTGCTGCAAACAAACAAGTACAAGTTTAGGCTGCAGCAACAGGAATATAGTTTCAAAATCATGGTAAATAATAGTTTTGCTTTGTTGGTTTTTCCCCACCTTAAGTATTTTATCCAGTTCTGAGCATCATGCTTTAACAATTTAGAAAAATTAAAATGGGCTTGGAGAAGAGCTAGAAACTAACATCCCACAAGATAGAATGAAGAAAATGACAATGTTTAAGAAGGTAAAGCTGAGGGTGTATGATAGAGCTCTTGAATATCTGAAATAATGTCACACAGAAGGACAAGACTGTTGACTGTCGTTCAAGTGTGCAGCACAGAAAATACTGCTTTATGGAAAGCAGATTCTGTAATCATAGCCATCTGAAAGATGAGTTAATTACCCAGAGAAATGGTGGGCTCCCTTGCACTGGACCATCAGGGAAGCTTGAATTGGATTCTTCCATTGAACAGAGGCTTGGACTGGATGGATAAATGGCCTCTTACAAGTCTGTAGTCCTATCAAAATGTACAAACATATTTAGCCTATGCTTGCTTTTTGGCATCTATAGTATAGCCATTAAGTGAAATCATAGTGATGATTGGGCTGTGGATGTATACAGTGAAGAAAAACAAAGTATAGACCCAGTATGCTGATTTCTGAGAGGGCATGTCTATCCAGGTTAGTAATTTAACACCTTGGTCTTCTAGCTACTAGCTTTAGTAATCAAATCTATCATAAATAATATATTGTTATTTGTATTCTAACTCTGCATATTTTAATAAGCCTTGTTTAGGCTTAGAAGATAAGCAGAATCATACCATCATAGAACGTAAAAGTTGGAAGAGATCTAGTCCAATTCCTGCCTGATATGGGTATCCACTAGTATAGCATCCTTAATAGAGGATCATCCAGACTCTGTTTAAACATTGCCCTTGAAAATTTTTTTACTGTCTCCTGAAACAATCTGTTCTGTGGAAGGAAACTTTTTCTTGATGTCCAACTGAAATGGAATAAATGGATTTTTTTCCCTTTGGAACAATTTTGCCCTGTCTTATCTTACAGCCGATGCAGTCTAGCCAACACAGAATAAAAAGGAACAGTGTTTTAAAGTTCTGGTTTTAAGGTTGATATATGTGGTACTTAAAAGTTTGTGAACCTTTTTGAATTTTCAATATTTATGCATAAACATGAGCTAAAAGTAAACTGTTCTCCACAAAAGTCTAAAAAAGCGAACCCAATTAAACAAATGAGTCGAAAACATTACACTTGTTCATTTATTTACTTAGGAAATATATACTGCTATATAGCTATGTATAAATAAATTGTGTATTTTTAAAGGTTGGTTACTCAATCTTTAGTTACATAAACTCAAAAGTAAATCTGACTGCCTTGAACCAGGCTTATTTTCAGATATATGTATAAAAACTGCAGCTTTTTTGTTCAGTCCTGTGCTTTTATATCAGAAATAGGCCCATTTTATTTACTGACAATTACCTATAGATAGATAGGAATTGGTCAGCAGCCATCTTTTACAATACTGAACATCATTTTTTTCTCCTTTTATAACTTCTAGCTTTTCTTACGAGTGTCAGATTGGTGATGAAGTATTTGATGCTGGAAAAGGAAATAAAGTTCAAATAGCCAAACTTGAAGCAGCCAAATTAGCATATGAAAAGTTGAATAGCTCATCAGCTTTCAGGGTATGTAAACCAAAATATACCATATAGTCTCTGTCATGTTTTGGATAAATGACATCAGGTTGCTCTCTAAGTTTTGTTTTCCAGTTCTATGAAATGGAATTGTTAACAAGCTGCATTATGGTACGTCTTTTGATATACAGAAAGCAAACTTTTTGAAAGGTTTGAGTGTATAAATATTATTTTCATTATAAAAGGTGATAGAGGAGTTGTGTAGAACAACTTGTATCTAAGCCAACGCTCCTCAACCTTTGCGGCTTGGCGGCCTGGCTGGGAGGGGGTAAGGGAAACTGGGCTGTGTGACTGTCGGGCTGGTGCACACATGCATGCGTGCACAGGTCGACTTGAGCTGTGCGCATGTGCGCCAGCCTACTGCTTGCGTGATTCAAGCTGTGTGCCCACACCAGCCCACTGCTCATGTAGCCTGGTTACAAGTAGGCCATAGCCCGGTAGTGGGATGTGGCCCAGAGGTTGTGGACCCCTAATCTAAGCAACCTATTGTTGCATTCATTGTAATTTCTCTAGAATAGAGTTTGTCTGACCATAGTTACTCATGCCTAAATAACATCTGGATAGATCATTAACATGAGTTGTTGGGAAACTATATACTGTACAGTTCTTATTCAAATATTCATAATGATTTACCAGATGTTTCACTTATTCTGATTCACAATCATGAGATCAGAGCATTATTTTGAATACTGTGATTCTGTGTCTATTTGGAATTCAGTCTCATTTTTTTTTTATTGTGCTAGCTCTTAAATAAATGTGAATAGTTTTACAACCTGATACAGCTTCATTATGAGGGTGGGTGGAATACAGTTTTCCATTGTTTCCTATTAAGTCCTTATTTTTTTTCCCTCTTGGATGTTCCAAAGTGCAAACCTGCTTATTAACAGTTATTTACATAGTAATAGTTGTGATCTTGTAATTTCTTCTTTTCTTGGTACATCACACGGCATGTTACTATAGATAGTTCTCTACTTACAACCGTAGTTGAGCACAGAATTATGGTCATAAGTTGTTGCAATCATAAGTCGAAGCATCGGGTCATTTTTTGACACTTTTTGTGGTGGTTGTTAAGTGAATGTCCAATTATCAAGCAAATCCATTTACCTAATGGGTGGGTTTTTTTTGCTGGAAACTGGAAACCTGGCAAAAACTAAAATAATCAAAGGCAAACCTGGCAAAAATAATCCTCCCACTTGGAATATTGCAGTGCGCTCTACATGAGTCTAATCTTAAAGAGCATTCAGAAGTTACAATTGGTCCAGCACTGACTGCTGCTTTGCTTCTGGGTTCAATTCAAGGTTTTGTTATTACTTTTGAAGCCCTTTATGGCATGGGTCATAAGTATATCAGCTGAACCCTCTTTCCCCAATGGGATTGGCCTGTCCCACTTGTGCTGGCAGAAAGGGCCTACTGTGGATCCCATCAGCCAAAGAATTTCAGCTGGTGGGATCCAAGAGAAGAGCCTTTTCTGCCATGACTCCTACCCTGTGGAACATCTTGGGATAGGAGGTAAGATCCACCCTCTTTCTTTTGGCCTTTAAGAAAGTCCTTAAAATTTGGCTATGCCAGCTGGCATGGAGTCCTAAAGCAAAAGCTGCTGACTGGAGGTGGTTGATAGACTAACAGAGAAGACAACCCACTTCTCTTCTCCAAACCCTTGTTTTTTAGTTTGTTTTAATTTTTGTAATTTTAATCCATTTTATATTTATAATTATTTTATGTTGTTTTATCGGTGTAAGCTGATCAGAGTTGCCTGAACTGCTAGATGGGTTGCAAATAAATTTGATAGATAGATAGATAGGTGGGTGGGTGGGTGGGTGGGTGGGTGGATGGATGGATGGATGGATGGATGGATGGATGGATGGATGGATGGATGGATAGATAGATAGATAGATAGATAGATAGATAGATAGATAGATAGATAGATAGATAGATAGATAGATAGATAGATAGATAGATAGATAGATAGATAGATAGATAGATAGATAAACATGGATGAGAATTGTACGTGTGACCTTGGGACACTGCAAATAGCCATAAACATGAGCCAGATGCCAGCATTCAAAATGCGATTCCCTGATCATGGGTGTGTGCATATGCGGTCAAATTGGGTTGTAAGTAGCTTTTGGGGGAGCCTCTCATTATTTCAAATGGTTGTTAAGCAACCAGTCATAAGCCAAGGATTACCTGTATAATTTTAAAACTCCCAGGTATAAAATGAATAATTTTTCATGCTTTTTCTTACATTATCTTTTGCTGAATAAATCTTTTGTTTTGGAATTACTATTTTTCTAGGCAAAAGAACGTGCTAACTCTATCAGTGATTCTTCAGATACGACATTTAGTAGTAGTCAAGGTCTATCAAGTGAAGCATCTCGGAGGTAAGATTATACTGAATTACTTTTTTAAAAATACTATTAAATTGATATAAAGAACATAACATCACACAGAGAATACCAATTAGGAGAGGTAGGGTAATTAGTATGAAAGGCCTTTCCATAATTTTATTCTGATTGTGGAATTTCTATGTAGCTCCTTTTATGTCTTTCAAGTTAATAGGCCGGATATTTTTACCTGAATTGCTTACTGACATAGTCTCTGTCTGGATTATATCTTTACCTTTTCCTACACACCTGGGGTGGTGATGATGCGTGTTCAAAAGGGGTAGAACTTATTGCAATAATGCTGCTTTCATCATTTTTGCTCCTTTTGAGTTAGAGTTTAAAGGAATCTCGACAATATCTTCTTCCCCTTCTAGCTGTTCTGGTTTTTTTTTTAATTTTTACATAAATATAAATGCAGTACATACCTAGATACTAGTTAGGTCCTAATAGAAATATTCTCAAAAGTGCTTCTGAACCATTAAAGTAGATTTATAGTAATTATAGACAAGACAAAAATAGAATAAAAGTCTAGCAGCAAAACAAGGTCATTTTCTCAAGGTGTTGAATTTTGCTTCAGTGGAAACTTCTTCAGGCATTTTTTCTGTCTTTGCTTATCCAGAAGGCCAGTTTGTTCACTATTACTTTCTTCTATAATAAAAAAATTGTACAAATGGAATCTATCACTGCCTATTCCCCAGTGATTTGAAGGCACAAAAATAATAAATGAATGAGTGAGCGAGCGAGCGAGCAAGTGAATGAGTGATCTGGAACAGCCTACTATATAATCTGCATTTTAATTTGGATAGGTCATAAGCTGTGTAGAATTGTTCAACTAAATTTTCAAGAAACATGAATCAAACAAATCTTGGTTTTTTTTATTTTGTGCACACTTTAGTTGTAAAGATTTAGCTTGAGAACAAATGTCACTGAATTGTTTGCTTGTGTTTCAGCAAAGTGTAGATGTAGAAAAGCATGTATGTGGCAAACTTAATGGCACTAAAATGCAATCATGATAATCTGTGAAGATTGTTTTAGTTTTACATAGATAGTGCTTCAGTCATATTGTAATTATGCTGTGTTTTTTTTTAATTCTGTAGCAGTACAGATTTGGATTCAGAACTGATGAAGATATCTGACATATTTTCTGACGATTCCATTCAGCTAAATGAATCTTCATCATCTCAGAAACCTGTAAACAGAATTTTAAAATATTTTTCAATTTATTCTTTTACTGCTTTTAAAATAAATGGGAAAAAATAAATGGGAAAAAATAAACATACATTGTCCCAAGAAAAGGAAAAAATATATAGAAAGAGCTTTAAAAAATGAAAAGATATAACAAAGGAAAAAGAAAAGATATCATTTTAGCAATAGTTACAGTTCTATATATCGTTATCTAATTTAATTATTATTTAAGTAAATATTAGTTCTAATGCATTTATATAACTATCATTTTAACCTATTGTATTTTGTTTAAATGAATGTCATATTTCATTATATTTGTTTATACAAGTCTATATCTATAGGCTCTCCATTTATAGGTGACAAATTAATTAGTTCCTCAGTCTATTGCTTTTTGCTAAAAAAAACTAACAAATGTATGTAGGAAATATACTAGAGTAGTAATGGGAGACTTTAACTACCCTGATATCAACTGGAAGACAAACTCTGCAGCAAGTGGGAGATCAAACAGATTCCTAACCAACCTAGCTGACAACTTTGTCATCCAAAAGGTAGAGGAGGGAATTAGAGAAAAAGCTATATTAGACTTAATTCTTACTAATAGAGAAGAAGTCATAGAGGGAGTTGAAAATGCCAGAACCTTGGATGAGAGTGACCATGTCATATTGAAATTCAATATAATGCAAACACAAGAAATAAAACATAATGTAGCCAGTATCTTAATCTTTAAAAGAGCTGATTTTAACAAACTCAGAGAGGGCCTAAGAAAAATTCTATGGATAAAAATCCTAAAAGGGGAAAACAACTCAAGAAGAAACTCTGAAAAATATGATCATAAAAGCCCAGTCCAACACAATACCACTGAAAAAGGAAAACAAGAAATCCAAGAAGAAACCAGCATGGTTGCACAAAGATCTCTCTGATAAACTGAAAAACAAAAAGGACAAGTACAAAAAATGAAAAGAGGGACACATCACTAAGGCAGAATATCAACATATAGCCTGAATCTGCAAAGATGAAGTCAGGAAAGCTAAGGCTCAGAATGAACAAAAACTTGAAACAAAAGTCAAAGATTTTAAAAAAAGTTTCTTTCAACATATAAATAACAAGAAAAAGGCCAAGGAAACAGTAGATCCACTTAAGAGAGAAAATGGCAAGGAAATAACAGGCAGTAAAGAGAAAGCAGAGCTGCTTAACTCATTCTAGGGCACTTCACTATCAAACTCAGCTGGCCACACAGAACGGACGAAAGGGAAGCAGCTAAAAGTAACTGGAAGTACAGTTGGGAAGTTAAATTCTTGCCCACATTGATGAGTTCTAGGAAGAAAATGTAGAAAATCTTGGAAGTGTCTTATCATTCTCATCTTTCTGTATTGGAGATTGAGGCACTCAGACTAGGAGGAGCTACCTTTAAATTAGCCAAAGTATTGATTGGTTACTTTAAACATAGCCAATCAGATTCTGATTCAAGTTCCTGATTCAGAAAGGGGAAACTGCTTGTAGAGCTCCTTGTTTTAACCTTCCCAGTGATCTTTCCTTCCATTGTAACTTTGATCAAACCTTTAAACTTCAGCATTTAGCTCCAAGATAGAATAACTGTATAATACTTGTTTCTTTACCTCCATTTTGCTCTAGGTCAGTCCATCCAATCACACTATGAAACCTAAAAGGTATGTTTCGTCGTTTGAAAATGGAATTATTAGCTATATAATAAACATATTAAATCAGTGGTATTTATATACAGTTGTGTATACCATTTATGTATGTCAATATATTTCATTTCAAGTTTTTTTTTTTCAAAGAAAAGAAACACCTCTGGCTGCAAGATTTTCAAATCTGGGTAGAAGAAAAAGTAAATTCACTGTAAGCAACAGGTAACAAACTACTTCAATTCTTGGAATAAGAATTATCTTATTTAATTTGATATTGGATTAATAGGAAATCTAATAATTAGATATAGATTGATATCTGGTTCAGATTTATTTGAAAAGCTTATTTGTCACATAGCCACAGCAATTGAATAAGAGGAACTGGATCCATGTGGTAAGAAAATGAGTGACAAACTATCTCTTGCTTTGTAATGCACAAGATAGTTTTTGTGTGATTTTTAAAAATACATTTGCAATTTTCTTTCTTGACTCCTTACTTAAAACATTTGCTTATTGTTTTCATGCATGTTTTGTTCGAATATTGTTGGGGATACTGATCACAGAAACCTTTATAACTTGGCTTCTTGATTTGTTTGGGATGAGGAAACTATTTTAGTTTTTGAGGTATTTGGGAAATAAAGAGGTTGGTTATTTCTTCTTTTAGAATTGCCCAAGGATTTAATACAACTAACTATGGTATCCTGCATTATTTTCCTATGGTAGCTTTGTTTTACATACCTACTGATTCTCAAGTAGTCTTAGACAGTGATGTTAGAGGATTGCTGTTCCTTCCATAAATCTTTGATTTGCAAGACACCCTCATGTTATTCTATGGTTAGGCACGCTTGATAGAGGGGATCATGCAAAGACTTATGCTGTCACAGTTTGGATGCTATGTACCTATCAAAGCTGAAATCACTCTTTATAGTCAGAAATTTGAGAAAGAGACTTATATCAAATCAATCTTTCTTTATTGCAGGGGTGTCAAACTCAATTTCATTGAGGGCCGTATCAGCATTGCGGTTGCCCTCGGGGGGCCGGGTAGGTGTAGCCAGGGTGGGTGTGGCCTACTGGGTGGGCATGGCCAGCTCTACATCGTTCCCGTCAAGGGTGTCTGTTGGGGCCTGGGCAGGAATGGGACAGATCTGAGGGTCTCTGGCAGAAGGGGGTGGGACTGGGGCAAGCGCCAAGGCATGGTCCATTTCTTCATTCCTCACAAAGGGTGACACCTCCCCAGCATGCACCCAGGGGGCAGGGCCAACGTGGCAGGGGCCGGTCCCTTGCTGTTTCCAGACGGCCTTGTGGAGCTAAGACTGAATGTGTTTCAGCATAGATGGCCACCACAAAATTGTACATTGGGTCCCGGCCGGCCTGGGCCAGGGCCAAGGCAGCGGGGGCCGTTCCCTCACTGTTTCCAGGATGGCTTCGCGGGCCACATGAAACCACTTCACGGGCCGCATCTGGCCCCCGGGCCTTGTGTTTGACATGTCTGCTTTATTGCAATATAGTTGCTTGATTTCATTGCATGTGTGCAAACACACAGTCTCCAACTTCCATTATTAAGATGGCCAGGCAAAACATAAAATGATAAGAAGATGTGACAAACAATAAACAACAGCTCAATTAAGGAACCAGCACTGACAGGGCAAGCCACAAGCACTGACAGGGCAAGCCACAAGCACTGACAGGGCAAGCCACAAGCACATAAAATGAGAACAAACCCCACTCCCTGCTAGCACTGATGATGTTACCTAGTTTGGTAATGAAACATCTGTAAGAAAACAACCAAACTCAAAAAGCACCAAGGACCCACAAATGTGAGGTACCCGGTCAACAAAAGAAGATATTCCAGATACTCTTTTTTACACTTCTTGTTTTATACAATAAAATCTTTTTGTCTTCAAACATTCATTTTGAACTCACAAATATCTGAACGACAGTAGATGTCTGGCTGTTTTCAATCTTCAAATCTTCAAATGGAAGTGATAAGATATCTGCTCATCAGAATCTCATCCAGACAAATACTTTTTGATAATCAACTGTCCAACATCCCTCATTTTGTGCATTCATGTCTAATTGGTAGCTAAAAATTTATCTTCTTTAACAAATATAGTCTTTAATTATGGCACAGCTTTAGATAAATACCAGGTGATGTTATCCTGCTCTTTTCTTTTCCACAAACTTTGGGAGATAATTATTTTTTGGGTGGGTCAGCAGTGGAATAGTTGAATGAATAAGAATTATAATTAATTCTTCCCATTTCCTCAAATTTCTGATGTCCAAAGGAGGCAAATTTTTTGCTGACCTTTCCACTTCACAGGTGAAATATCAAGAGATGAGAATCAAATATTTTGAAGGGGAAATGCTTATCATGCTGCCTCTTTTTATTTCCTAATTTGCACCAACTGCAGATGGTAGAAATACTAAAACTTTTAAATGTTTTTCTATATGTATATATTATTAGTTTTTATAGGATTAGGAATAATGTGGGGTCGAGATTGGGGTTGGGATTTGGGTTAGGATTAGGATTGGGGTTAGGGTTAGGGTTTTTTAAAATAACATTCTCAATATTTAGCAAACAGCATAATGTCTGGGTTCATGTATTTAAAAAAAACCAAAGAGTAGTAGTTAATTATCATAAACTATGTTAATTAATTGCTTGATGGTCTTCTTCTTGCTGATATATATTCAAAGTTACATATCACATTCCTTTCTCTCTAACTAGTTTTTCTAGCCATTGATAAAAATTATTCCATGTTCTAAAATACAGAGTCTTCTTTCTCTTTTATCTTTAAAGTCAATCTATCCGTTTCTGCACACTCTAAAATTTTTTTAATTAATTATTCTTCAGTTGGTAAATTTTCATTTTTCCAATGTTGGGCAAATACAATTCTTGCTACAGTTAGTACGTGTAGAATTAAATATATACAGTCTTTCTCATAATTTGCTCCTATTATTCCTAACAAAAATAATTCCCATAAGCACTCCCCCCCCCATACACAATCATATTAATTTTTCACAGGTCATTCTTAACCTAATCAGGCAACTTCAAGAGCTCATTTAAAGAAGAGAAAAGGTCAGGTCTCCCTTCAGAGCCATAGGTGGAGCAGCTGAAGGTGTGATTCGGCACCCATGCTTCAAGACAAAATTTCATTTATTTGTAATTAGAAATAAATATTTAACAATATATAATTACATATTGTTTTTGTAATCACTATGCTTTAATTATGTTCAATTTGTAACAATGAAAATACATCCTGCATATCAGATATTTACATTACAATTCATAACAGTAGCAAAATTACAGTTATGAAGTAGCAACGAAAATAATTTTATGTTTGGGGGTCACCACAACATGAGGAACTGTATTAAAGGGTCGTGGCATTAGGAAGGTTGAGAACCACTGCTTTAAGCCATAATAAAATAGTTGCTTGGTAGTATAACATCCAGTCCAGCAGTCCAAATCCTCCACTTTCTTTTTAATGCTAATAGTGTTATTTCAGAGGTGTTCTGGAAAACAGACATGATAGCAGCCCCCAAATTTTGCTTTTGCTCCAGTGATATTTTTAATGCGGCCTCCATAGTAGTTTTGAATTCAGTTAAGCTATAGCGAACAGAAGATCTGCAAATATATTCTATACCAAATAGACTTGCTGTTTCCCTTAAGTCTTAAGATAAATTCAGAGCTGCTCTCTGATTTGGAACTGCTTGACAATGGACAGCATACATTTAATCTGGTTAGGCTATTTCCATAGCTGTACCAGTTCAAGAAACCATCCATCATTGTGCATAGGATGATGATCCCATACTTACATCTTCAGGAGTAGACACCACTGAATTCACAATAGACTTACTGGGTTACTTAACTGCAGATGGAACTACCACAATATCGATAGATTAGATTCCCTTTCAAAAGCATCCAGAAGATACAAATAATTTTGTCTGGCATATTTTTTTAAAATGCTGACATTGTTCTAAAAGGATATAGCCAAAGGCATGGCAATTTGAAAGAGTTTTGTTGTTGTCATCCCTGCATGCCTGTTTAGGCACAGCCTTTTCGCCTACAATCCCACCGGAAATGTTTCTTGCACCTGCATGGAGAAACATTTTGAAGTGGTCATGATGAGCTGTTTTAATGCTTCAAAGAAGGGATTTTGCTCAACCCATTGTGCTTTGCAAAAGCTTCCTTTCTCTTTGCATAGTGAATTATTTGTATTCTTTTTTATACATTCCTCAAAATTGTTAGACCCTTTTAAGATGGAAAGGCAGGGATATACAGTATGAATATTATATAAGAAGTTTAAAAACAAGACCTTGAAGTGTCTTGGTAAAGATGAAGGTGAGCAAATATGTCTGCTTGGTTATAGAGCTAGGTAGCAGGATTTTATATATTTATATTATAACAATATTTATATATTAATGCTTTTGGTACTGTAAGTATTTTCAAACATTTTGCAATATGCCATTCTAAGATTTAAATTGTTTTTAAAACAGATTTCTTAAAGAGTTTGATGATATAGAGACTATTGGTATAGGCGGCTTTGGAAATGTTTTCAAGGCAAAGCATATCATTGATGATAGATTATGTGCTATCAAACGCATCCGACTTTCAGGGTAAGTTACGCTATGCTTCCTTTAATTTTAATTATACTGTTATAAAGCATTTAAACACGTAGAATTTTCTACATTAACATTACAGATAGTCCTCGACGACTACAATAGAGACCAGAAAATTGGTTAAGTGGTATGGTCTTTAAGGGAGGCATCATGCGACCATGATTTTTAACTTCCTGCTAGCCTTCCCACTGACTGTGTTGGAAGCTGGGAGGGAAGGTTGTAAATGACAATCACATGACTGCAGAATGCTGCAACTGCTGTAAGTGCAAGCTGGTTGCCAAGTGCTGGGATCGCAATCATGTGACCATGGGGATACTACCAATGGGGACCTTGTGTGCCCAAGGACCCATTGTAAGCAGTGCCATCATAACTTCTAACCATTATTAAATGAATGATTGTTAAATGAGGACTATCTGTATATGTCATACTTAAGTCTCACATTGACTGCTCCTGAACAGAGAAGTTCTAACAGGTTTTGAAACAGTTTTGGTGGAATCCTAATGACTATATACTGTAGTGTGCACTTTAAATACATCACTACAAATCACTTATTTGAGAGACTTTCATATTTTATGTGTAGAAGACTGAGTTACTGTTGTATCGAGATTCAGTTGTAGAACAAGGACAGATGTGGGTCCTATATCATTTTGCTGTGCTTTGAAAATACTTAAGTATGTAATACATGACTTGTTTGTCTGCCACTAGTGAAAAACTACGTCCCACCAGAAAAGTTTCAAAATTGTAACAGAAATATTTTATTTTTCTTTCTTGTGCTTACATAGTAAAAAGTAGAGTTACAGCAGTGGTTCCCAATGTTTTCTATACCCCACACCCTTAGAAGGCTTCTAATATATTCTCGCATCCCTTACAAAAGTTTAAAATAATGGCAATGAATTATGCACATACACTATAATTTTGAAAACCCAAGTTTTCGCATCCCCTGAAATATTGTTTTGCACCCCTGGTTGGGAACCTCTGAGTTAGAGGGAGATTTCCGTGTGACTTGATTTTGTTATAAGAACTAGGAAAACCAGACAAGAATAGATTAGGATGTATTCGTTGTTTAATATGAATATGAATTTCTATATGCTATCGTTGTTAAGTCTAATTTTTACATTAGAACATTTCCTATATTAATGGTAAAACAGGTGCATCATTAATTTTTCAGATTTCCTCTTTTATGATTTTATTATCTGCAGTGTACCTTCTGACACATTTGCAAAATTCCAAATCTGATTCTTGTTCCTTTTTATAGAAAAACCTGTAGTTAATTAATCTTGTAAACAGCTGCTTCTGGAAATAATTCTGCAGTGTAGGCTTTTGGATCAATTGTTAACAACAAGGGTTTTTTATTATTGTTATTATTATGGTTGTTGTTTTGGCTTAACATAACAGCAAAAAAGACAGTGGAGAACGAGAAGTAAAAGCATTGGCAACACTTGATCACCGGCACATTGTTCGATATTATACTTGTTGGCCTGATCAAGACATTTTCCAGTTTCCTGATACCAGTGAGAGCAGGTAATTTCATCATTACATAACGTGTATTTTTTTTAAAGAAAACATTTTGAATATCTGTTTCGTTTGTGCTTAGTTAGCTTAACAGTTACTGGGCATATTCCACTTGATTTTATCTATTCAGACTTATATATTGCAGTCTTAAACGCATACAATTTATATTGAACATAAATAGGCCGAAGGTATCTTACCTTTTATTACAAAGCAAGCTGAAATAAAAAAGGAAAGTTGGCATGGAGCAGTATCACAGAGTCAAATCATTAACATTTCCGTATCAAGGTTTATTTTAAAACACTTCAACCCAACAATGCTGTAAGTGATGGTTATTCTTATAACAATAGAGTTGTCAACGCTGCAAATACTGTATATTCTTGCTTTGACAATATGCAGAACTGTCTGGTATTTTTATAGTTAAATCAGGCAACAGTGAAAGGGGAGGAGAATAAGGAAAGCCCGGGAAAAAGAAACCGGAAGTAAATCACATCTTCCAAGTTAATTGGAAGATGTGAATCATGACCCCAAAATGCTTGGAATGTATGTGCAACGGAAAAGAATCCAGATCTAAGCATTTCCACCATGCCGTACTGACGTCTCTGTAACCTTAATAAATGCTTTTAGGAAAAATATGCCTGAAAGTCCTTTTAAGTGTTTCGTTAATCAGACACATGACAAGAGTAATAATAAATTAGAGCATTAATACAACCAAACAATAACATTGACTACATCCTCATATTCTGGCACCAGGGCCACTCAAATTATTATATGTCCTAGGATAATGATGGCGAACCTTTTAGAGACTGAGTGCTCAAAAACCGGCCCTGCCCCCCCACCCTGTCCCCCGCCTGCAGGGCCACCCATCACCTTCACGGCCATTGTAGCCTTTAAGAGCAAATACTTTTATTGGATATTTTCTGTATGTGAGTCACTAAATTTTTATCTAAATTAAATTGGCCTTTCTGTCATCCTTTGGCATTAGTATAGAAACTGGCTTTTCCTGATAGCTCAGAGCTTTGCTTGAAACATGTTAGATATATCAGGAGTTTTCAGCTGTATTTGAACCCCATAAATAAACAAAATGGTTAGATCCATGCAAAGAATTGGACCTACCTCTGATGTCCATAAAGCAATTAGGAGGTGAATAGTTTTAATATTATTGACTTTTTTATTTTAAATTCTTAACAGCTCAGAGCAATTTGACTGCCTCTTCATTCAAATGGAATTATGTGAAAAGGGAAATCTGGCGGATTGGATAAATCAACAAAAGGAAAATTTATCTTGTAAAGATGATTCTGTAGAAATTCTATTTCAGCAAATAGTGCAAGGAGTGAATTATATTCATTCTATGGATTTAATTCATAGAGATCTCAAGGTGCGTACTGTAATTCAAAATGTCAGGTTTTGCCATCTTAACAATATTCTTACGGAAAGCTTTTGAAAATTCTCTTGTAAAATAAGAAAAATATAAAAATAAAAGCATCTATACAATATTACGTTTTAATTATATAGGCTCCTTGTTTTCTGTGAATCACTTATCATCCAGAATGAAATGTGACTTTCTTCCTTTGTCTAAAATATCAGACTGGCCATAAATCTCTACAGTATTTTTCCTGAAATTCGGCCCTGCATTCAGGTCTAGATAACAGCAGAAACCCTCAGGACTTGATATTCTAGATCACTTGCTTTATTAGAGTGGGAAAAAGCCATACATATGTAGAAAAAAAGTGACGCAAAATTTAGAAATCAAGCCCTAGATTTAAGTTTAGATTTTAGTGAGAGTTGGTATAATGTAATTATTATAACGTTGGAGTGTGACCTAGGGAGGATCTAGTCTACCCCACAATTATGGAAAATTGTCATGGCCCAATCTACTTCAAGGGTAGTTGTGGGGACAAAATAGGAAAAGTGCTGTATATGCTTCCTTGAACTTCTGAATGAAAGACAGGAAATTCATTTATTTAGCTCTCTGTCAGCTATAGGGTTTATATCCAGTTATATGTATTTCACTTTTACAAATAAATATGTAGAAAAAAGTGAGTGAGCCACAACCCTTTCCTTCACCCCTTTTAGTTTTCCACGTTATAGCAGGGTCAAGCTTTACCCAGACTGACACTTGAAGTAGAAGGCTCAGAGCCAAAGAGGAGGAGGTTTCGAAGTATTTCTAGCAGGACTACCTGATTCTGTAATAGCTTTGTTCCCTATGCCATCCATCTGGTTAAACTCGCAAGATATGTTTTTCTTGCCATGCACATGTATACATAACCCAAACTAGACTGTTGTTTCTGTGTCATATGTGTGGGTATATGCATAATTCTGTATTTATTTATTTTTGTCATATTTATGTAGTGTATATAGGAGGTTGTGACCCTTTGAGAGCTGAATGCAATGAAATTTCATTTTAATGTATGCCGATTAGTGTGCATTTAAAGTGACAATAAAGTTATTCTATTCTATTCTATTCTATTCTATTCTATTCTATTCTATTCTATTCTATTCTATTCTATTCTATTCTATTCTATTATTCTACTCTACTCTACTCTATTTCTCTCTTCTATTGTAGGAAATAGGAGCTTCCATTTCTCAAAATATTTTTTTTAATGAAATAAATATAGTCACATGCTCTTTGCTTCTGACTTTGTCAGCTTTTTCTTTTCCTGTCAGGTACAGGCAATCCTGATTATTTGCAGGTTCTATATTTGCAAATTCATTTATTCGCAAAAACGTATTTGTAACCCCAGAATCAGTCCGTGAATTGACCTCTGCTGTCCTAGAAAAAAATATTTGTTCCTTGTATGCCTAAATATAAAGTGTTTTCTTATAGTATTTATATTTTTCTTTTACAGCCTCTAAATATATTCTTTCATACTGAAAATCACATAAAAATAGGTGATTTTGGATTGGTAACTTCAGGTGTAAATGATGCTTCAATACAACGGACAACGAACAAAGGAACATTGCGTTACATGGCACCTGAGCAGGTAATTATTGTTAATAATTCTTTTTTGTATATACACTGAAAATCCCTTTGAAAGGAATTTGCTTATTTCCTTTGAATATAGAGGTAGTCCTTGATTTAAGACCACAATTGAGCCTCACGTTTTTTTTGCTAACAAGGCAGTTATTAAGTGAGTTTTGCCCCAATTTATGACCTTTTTGCCATGGTTGTTAAGCAAATCACTGCAGTTAAGTGAATCATGTAGTAATTAAGCAAATCTGGCTTCCTCCATTGACTTTACTTGTAAGTAGTTGACTCAGAAAGTTACTAATAGTGATCACATGACTCCAAGACAGTGCAGCTGTCATAAATACATGCCAGTTGACAAGTGCCTGAATTATTCTTTTGATATTTTTTTCAAAGATAAAATATTAAAAACTACAGAACAAAAAACCCCCCAAAAGACAAAAATTACAAACACAACAAAAATAATAATAAAAAAGTGCACAACATATAGAAAGCCAATATTAAACATACATCGTCCATCCTGGTTGGTATGTTGACAAATATTTTCAAATAAATCTAATGGAATTTAGATTCCCCTAGATTTGTGGGTCTACAAATAATTATAAAATTTCATATCTAGAATTGCAATATTTACTATACTACTATTTTACATCACAATTCTTTGAAAGCTATACCAATTCTCAGGTAAATCTTTTTCTCCATCAAATCCATTAGTAATGTTAGATATTAGTCCTATCCACATATTTAACTTCTCTCTTGTATGTGTATTCATGACATCTTTCAGTTGGTTTAACCCAATTGCAGATTCTTCAAATGTTTGATCTATTTTGATCCAAGTGCCTGAATTTTGATCATATGACCACAAGGATGCTGCAATGGTTGTTCAGTGTGAAAAGTGGTCATAAATCATTTTTGGTGCCATTGTAAATTTGAACAGTCATTAAATGAATGGTTGTAAGTCAAGGACTACCTGTATAGTTTTCCACTTGTAAGTTCTCTCTACTGTGCTATAATTTGAAGTCAGACTCTTAAAATAGCTGATAAATAAAGCATCTACATCCCCCACAAAAGTACTAAGTATTTCATCTAAGAGAAAATCATCATCATCATCTCCAAATAAATGACCATATGCTGAAAATTAACTTTTATTGCGTTGTTATTTATTTTCATGCATTTTTCCTCAACAGCATAAGATTGTATACAATTCTTTTGCCTCTAGAGACTCTAAGAAGCTGAATGAAGGTTGCGCACATCTTTGAAACAAAATTCACTGATTCACCCTGTACTTTGTTTTTACATTTGAAGTACCTAACATGCTTGTGTTATGCTGTCCATTAGGAAGGATGCAGTTATGGCAAGGAAGTAGATATCTTTCCATTAGGATTAATTTTATATGAAATGCTTTTCCCATTTTCAACTAGTCATGAGAAAGAGAAGGTAAATAATCCATTTTTTTCTTACATCTGCCTGCATGTATTTCTCAATAAAGATAGGAGACACATGTTCAAGCTGCTTTTCAGACTGACTTATTTAATGTAATGTTAGAAAAATAAATTAAAATAGTTAACTTTAGAAATGTATACATTAAAAAGCTGAGCAAAAAGAGAAAAGCTATCCGTCCATCATATTCACAAATGGAATGCCTTGGTGTAAGAGCCACAGCAGATATATGGGGAAGGAGATTATTTTTGAAAGAAAAGTGATTAAGTTCTCAACTTTTCTTTGATCTGCTGATTAAAGGCCATAGGGGTTTGTATGACCAGTTATTGAAGGTTTTGGGGTTGTAAACATTTTGTTACGAAACCAGGCAAAAGTTGTACATACCTTTCTGACATCACATATTTCGGTTGGGAAGTTAATTTATATATCAGTGAAGACTTTGTAACTTTTTATAGGCCTAGAAAGTGTCTATGTCTGTGGACTGGAACTAGGCCTATTTCATATATATTTATATTATGTTATAATGTACACATTACTGTTTTATATGCTTATGAATACAAGCATAAGTGTGTATCCCTATGCTGTGACACCAAATTGTGTTCCTGCATGCACGTTTTTAGTCTTATTTTTACTGGTTAATGGACAAAGCTCATGTATGGGAATTTGTTGAAATTTGTATTAACAAAGATGTACAAATATGATAAAATATCACTTTGTGCAGAGAGCAAAGAACAGCTGTGAATATTCCCTTATGTGTATTTCTTATCAGTTAATATTATTCTTGACATACTGTAGCTTCTAGAAAACATCTTATCAAAGCAAATACTCTTAGCTATTGTTTTAATGTGGGATTTTTCTGCTGCTAGACCACTTAAACATTTATGATTGGTAAACTACTTTTGGGAGAACTGGCTAAATTTCTGAAATTTTGCATACAAATCCTTTAAAATAGAATTGTGTACTTTAATTTAAATACACTCTGATTTTTCAGGAATGGCCCAACATTAAAGAAGGCAAACTTCCAAAAACATTCATCGAGAAGTTTACAAAAGAGGTATACTGCTGTAAAACATTTCTATTTTTTAAACCTTTTAATCTATTTTTCTTAATTCCATGTTCATTTCTTAATTTTTATATTAATATCCTCTTCACTTGCAGACTTCTCTAATTAAGAAACTGCTTTCCAAAGAGCCATCTCAAAGACCATCAGCAGCTGATATTTTGGAATTAGTAAAATGCCAGCAACACGCACGACACACTTATTAGTGAATTTGTCAAAGCGCAGGTTTTTGGTTTATGTTTCTTTTGCTGTTCTTGATTCCTGAAATCAGTGTGAATAGACAAATTGCGAGACCCACTAAATGTGAAGGATTGGGTTTGCTCCTTATGCCTTGTTATGTTTGGTATCTCCCGAGAAGTCAAAGAATGCAAAGAATGAGAATGGAAGTGGAATGGGAAGATCTAATGGAAATAGAAAGAGTGCCTTTTGTGAACTTTGCAAGACCTTTTAGTCTCATCCTGTGTGCAAACACATAACGGCAATCTGATGTATCTGAATTTTTTTTACGAAGTTTTAATGTGCCATTCCAATGCTGTTGTTATACAGTTAAGTTTAATATTGCCTGGGAAAGTTAATACCATCCTTCTAACTCATGGAACTACTCGCATCAAGTGTTAATTGTTATCTTTTGCTTTGTGAAAGATAGTACTGTGATTAATCTGCAGTTTTATGACAGTATTCACTTCCTTTCAGATTTTTCTGAATCTTTTCAAATGAATGCTATTGGAGATATTACTGATTTATAAAAAGGTTATAGATGATACGGTTTGCTTTCTTTTGCAAAAATGTAGATGTAAATCCATAAATTAACCTTTTAACTTGCAATGCATAGATGGGCAACTGTTTTGGAAGTACAAGACAATGCATTTAATTACACTTAGCTTTCATTTACTTTAAAATCAAGAGCTCCAGCATTACATGAGTAATGCATCTAACAGTGCTTATAATTATGTTGTTTCTAAAACAGATCTAATGTGCTGTCTTGCATTTGTGTTTTGATACTTTAAACCAGGTATGTCCAACCTGCAGGTGCATGTAGCCCTGGACAGCTAGTAATGTAGCCCCACATAATAAAAAATATAAAAAACAAAGGACATTTGCTATTTATATACATTAATTATATTTTTATATGTAGCCCAAGACATTTCTTCACTCAGTGTAGTCCCAGGCAAGCCAAAAGATTGGCACCTATGCTCTAAATCATTTAATGTATGAGGGCAATTAGAAAATAAACCTCCGTTTGAGCATGTGTGAGAAATAGGCGGGGATAGCAACACCTGTCTATGACGCCATGCACCGTAGTTCAGTAGGCAGTGAGGAGTGGAAGAAGTTGTGTTCCAGTTGACTCGTCCGCTAGATCAATTGAAAATGAACCAGTTTTTTAAATGAAACAGTGGCTTGCATCGCACCGCTTCGATGATGACAATGTGCTTCACGATGCTGTTACAGGGTGGCTTCATTCCCAGGCAGGAGATTTTTTAGCAAAAGGAATTTCAAACCTAGTAAGATGTTATGACAAGTGCCTCAATTTGAATGGCGATTATGTCAAAAAGTTATGTAATGTTGTAGTTTTCTAATGTGTATAATACAAGTTCTGTATTTGCGAGTATCTGTCATTGATAACCAAATGGAGATTTATTTCCAAATTGCCCTTGTATTAATCAATTAAACCAGCCAATATAAAACACAACAGCGAGGATATGGTCAAAGGTTGAAAAAATATCTATAATAATGATAAAATGAAATAGAACTTTAAAAAAGGGGGACAAACATTAATGGAATCCAGATATACAACTATCTCAGTTCTTTAATTTGTCATCTAGAGCATATATTGCTTTTGCTTCTCATTTCTACAATATAAAGAAATGTTAAAAATGAACAATGTATTTCCTGAATTTACTTCTTCAGTGTTGCTTTCTGTCCAGTATAAATTGTGTAATTTATCCAGTGTGTGCAAATTTTTGGAAAAAGAAAAAGCTAGACCAATCTTTCTGAACTCAAGCCCCCAAAAGCTAAGACTCAACCTCCTGAACTCATAAAAGAGGTTGTTAGAGGATTTATGACAAATTGTGGCTGTAAAAAAAAAATGTTTTTTGAACATTTTGCTTCAAGCTTGTTTTTTTATACATTATGTCTGCCATGTGTTTTTAAAATTTATGAAAGCAAATGAAATATTAATTTCAAGAAAGATAAGCTATCTGTTTTATTTTTTAAAGAACTGGGTGGAAGTATGTTAAAACAGTTTTAAATAGGAAAAACATACTCTGTCATATAATCATTCCTCATTAACATCTTACAAAGTAAAAGACTTTTAGGCCTATACTTGGATAAGGTAAGCAAGAAATCAAGCAGAATTTTTTTAAAGGAAAATTTGAAGATTCTTCTATTGATTTACATTAAAGATGATAACCTTTAAGATGGAGGGGGACTCAAACCAAAAGAAAAGGCTAATATGTTTGTCAACATAAGTAGATCCATAGAAAATTATTCTCGGCTCAAAAACTATTATTAGTGACAATTATTAGTGGATTATTATATGTATATTTTATGATCATGCCAATTAACTGTCAGCTGCAGATATAATAAAGGCATGGTTTTGCTGAACCATGGAAATTTGTATGCAGGGGTTTCCTAAGATCTGGAAATTATTTCAAGGGTTCTCCCAAGTAAGAAGTTTGAGAAAGACTGAGCTAGACTACAATAAATATTTAACATATGAGATTGAACAATTATTTCTGGTAATCTCCTGAATCTCAGATTTCCATCTCTTTTTACAAAAATCTATTGGTTGGGAAGCTAGCAACTTGGAAGAATTCCAATATGAATTTGTAGCCATATTAAACTGTAGGAACTAGTTAAAGCTTGAGTACTTGTTTCTTTGGCTGCTAAAGATCATTTTGTTCTAGACAACTTGGGATAAGACTCTTGAAGAATCTCTGGAAAAGACCATTGAAAAAATAAGATAAATGGCAAAACTACAACATGTAGTAACCCCTAGGGCTAAGTCTGAAAACAGCATCATGCTGCCAGCCAGGTTATTCCTACTTTAGCTTAACTCTAAGGAACAGTTTGTAGAAAAGTTATTCACACAGATTGCCTGAAGCTTAAAATAAACGCAAATCAATGATTAACCAATGGTGGTGCATAAACCAAATAAATCACAGCTGAATTTCTATGCATTAACTCAATTTTGCCTAATAACTTTGGTTAAAAAAGCTAAGAAACTTAATAAAGAGGGGAAGAAAAGCACAAGGAGATTTTGTATGTGTTGAAGCATGGATTATTTTCCATGAGCCCTCTCATGAAACCCTATGTTCAGTTTTATTGTGAACCTAAACAGAATTATCTCTGAACAGCTAAATTCATTATTTAAGGTTTCTTGAAATTTTACTTTCCTGAAATAAAACATGCATTTATCCAATCTGCAGCATCTAGTCAATCACGTTAGATTTTATTTTTCAGAAGTAAACATAGCAGGATTTAAAAAAATAATAATAAATAACTTGGAAAAATAACAGATTAGTTCCTATTCCAAAGAATTATTTAAATAGCATAAAAGCCATTTTATACCCAAACATAGAGCAATGAGAAACGACCAATTTGCTCAATGAAAAATATAGAACAACATAGTTCATAGCTATGCTCTTCATTGAAATTAAAAAATTTGCTACTGTTTTGAATTTTTACAGACTTATTCATGATCTGTATATGTACTCCCAGGGCAATTTGAAGATAGATCTTCTTCATCTGCAAAGGAAAAAGAGAGAAATTTGCAGAATTTACAAGCAAACATGCATACAGTAATAGATAAGAAGTTTGAAATGGAAAATGTATTTTGTTTCAAACTCAAAGCAAATAGCGCATCTGAAATGTTCTGGATTGACTATATTCTGAATTTTATTTCAACCACTAAATACTCTAAATGGGCAGTTCCAAGCTTGTTTCTGCTTTAAGTTGCCAAGTTTTATTCCAACGTCAGAACAGCAAAGGTAGGTTTATTCTGACCTCAGAACAAAACCCTTAGGAGATTGTTGCAGTGTGACTGGGCTCTTTTAGAACTGGAGTAATATTTAGGTTTCCAAGAGAGGCAATCAGTGTAGAGAAACTGATATGGTGAGTGAAAACCTTTATGCTTCTCCTTTACAATAAACAGCAAACTTATTTAGAGTATGAACCCAGCTTTTATCCAATCTCTTTCTTTCCTGTTTTGTACTTTAGTGAATGTACCATCTTCTCTGAGTCTTTGCTTCTCTTCCTCCAGGGAAACCAATAATTGACTTTTTTTCTCCCTCACCTGGGAACCAACCACTGGTCTGCACAATCATACAGCTTTACTCTCCAATTTTTCTTTCCAGTCACTTCCTTCTACAAGAGTCCTTGTAAATTGGAGAGTGAGAAGGAGAGAAAAAAAAAAACCAGCACCATGTCCCCCAGCAATGCCTATATACAAGGCTGGGCTAATGGGAATGCTGTCTACCTGTACCCCCACAATGCTCTTGACTAGCAGTAAAATTAGTTAGTTCATCAGCTCTTGCGCCAATACATCTGCACCTCTCTCCTTTTGCTGACTTACACCATCATAAAAGCAGCAAAACTAGCCATTAAAAGCTTTTTGACATAAAAGATACATGACTATAGTAAAAATCCTGAAACATCAAAATTTTCAAGGAAAACCTCTAGAAAATAAGTAATAAAAAACAATACAATCAAAATTGATTATGCATAATGAATAAACAAATTCCACAGAATATGAATTATTGTATTTAAAAAAAAAACAATTTATGTTTACCTTGGTAGCTTGTTCCGCACCAGATGCAATAGAGATACTCTTCTCTTAAATAAGTTGTTAAAGTGATCAACTTTTCTGATTCCTGAAAAAGCACCAATAAATAATTTTTTAAATCCATTGAATAAATCAATCTGAGAAAGACACGTGTAATCATTGATTTGGCAATGAAAAGTATTAAATAAATTAGAATGTTTAGCTTCTGCCTTCTTTTTCTGCTCCTATTAAATAACTGTATTAGGATTCTTAAAGTCTTTTATTACTTCCAACTTATTATTTCTTCTTAATATTAGAATAAAATCTGTGATGGGTTTTATGAATCTTATTTATTGGCAGATAAAACCATGCATGAACAAATCGACCAACAAGGTCACTAAAAGTCCACAGATTTGATGGCACTTAATCAAAACATACATCATATATTATTTTTGACTCCTAGTGACAACATAGATTTTTTTCCATGATGAACTAGCCCAGACATGTCAAACACAAGGCCCGGGGGCCGCATGCGGCCCACGAAGTGGTTTCATGTGGCCCGCGAAGCCATCCTGGAAACAGTGAGGGAATGGCCCCCGCTGCCTTGGCCCTGGTCCAGGCCGGCCGGGAGCCAATGTACAATTTTGTGGTGGCCATCTATGCTGAAATGCATTCAGTCTTAGCTCCACAAGGCCGTCTGGAAACAGTGAGGAACCAGCCCCTGCCATGTCGGCCCTGCCCCCTGGGCGCACGCTGGGGAGGTATCACCCTTTGTGAGGAATGAAGAAATGCACCATCACCTGGAAGTGGCCAGCAAATGGCCCTGGCCTACTTCACATATCTGGCTTGATGGCCTCCAGGGGAGGGGTTTCGGCAGGTAGCGGGACACTCTCCTCACAGCGCCAAGAGGCTGAGCCGGGTGGCGTGAATCTGATCAGAAGTGCAATGCTGCCTAGCCCCCAGCCTGCCCAGTTTCAGCAGGCAGCAAGGTGCAAAGCTGGCGAGCTTCGCACTGCCCGGCTCAACCTCTCGGCACAGTGAGGAGAGCGCCCTGCTGCCTGCCGAGACCGGGAAGGCTGGGCGGCATTGCACAGGTAACGTTGACTCTCACGCTGCTCATGGCATCCCCTTCCCCAGAGCCCACCAAGCCAGATATGTGAAGTAGGTGAGGGCCATGTGCTAGCCACTTTCAGGTGATGGTGCATTTCTTCGTTCCTCATGAAGGGTGACACTTCCCTAGCTGCGTTTCTTGCCTGTTTTTCTCCCTCCCTCATCTCAAATATTTTTCCACCACTCTACTTAAGAAGGAAGGAAGGAAAGAAGGAGAGGGAGGATCTGAGGAAAGTGTTGCCTTAGTCCTGCCCTGCTGCCCTTTCACCATCCCCTTGCCCCCTCCTCCTGGCCTATCCTGAGGGTCTCCCATCCTATTCTAAGGAAGCTTTGGATAAAAAGCTGGGTCTCCTCCCATGGAGAGGGAATGGGCCTCCCTCTGACTTTGCCCTCGTACCCATCATGAGCAACCTGGCTAAGGAGAGCAAGTACAGCAGCAGCAGCAGCCTTGAGGAGGAGGTAAGTGCAGCTGGGCGCCCCCTTGGGGAAGTGAGGCTGGGCTTGGTGCCGCAGGTGCTCGAGGGCCAGGCTGGGCGTTTGACCTCTGCTGCCTTGGCGCTTGTCCTGGTCCCACCCCCTTCTGCCAGAGACCCTCAGATCTGTCCCACTCCTGCCCAGGCCCCCACAGGCACCATTGACACGAACGATGTAGAGCTGGCCACGCACACTCCATCCACGCCTACCCAGTAGGCTGCACCCACTCTGGCCACACCACCGCCCCCCCCCAGGGCAACCGCAATGCTGATGCGGCCCTCAATGAAATTGAGTTTGACACCCCTGAACTAGCCCAAACCTGGTCTTTCAGTTCTAACGTGCCCCCATTGCTCCAATATTTCTTTAAAGTCCAACTTTCCTTTCTATGTCATAGGAAATACCAAAGCTTACATTATTGTGACTCAGGAAGCAGCAACAAAATGGGACACAGTTATAGTGGCAATGAGTGCACTGTTGGAAGATCTGAAGGACCAGGTTCGGGACAGACCATTATGAAGAAAATGCATCTATGTGGTCTAAGAGCAGAAACTGATTTCATGGCACATCATAGATCAATCAATTAACGTACATTGTGCTGATGCACACATAGATGGATGCATTCAAGCTAAACCAAACTTAATTAAGAGTGATGAGAATGCATGCATTTTGTTCAACATTTATATTTACAGCAATAAATATTTATATTTACCTCTCACCTAGTTTGGTGATCACTATAGAGCATAATATAAAGAATTACCAGCCAGTCCACCAAAGACAACTGCTAAGACAGTATCTGAACATGTATTTACATTGAGTTCATCTTCCTTCTCCTCTTCTTCCTCTTCTTCCTCTTGGTCTTCTTCGGTCTTCGGGCTTAACCAGTACCAAATCTCTTTGGGGACTTCAAGGCCCTTAAATAAAAACATGGCAATAACTCATACTCCACACTATTAGATTTTTTAGGACTGCTGTAATCTTTGCCTAAATGGGGGAAAAATCATATTAAACACAAGATAAATTTTAGGAGACATTGCATATTAATAAAGCTCTTGATTTCTTAGACCTCATGGCCTATTTTATATTATCAACCAGATTTATCCTTTTGAAATGGATTTTTTTGGTGATGATGTGAGTTCTGCTTTCATAGTATCACTGTGGTAGGTCTGCTTAGCCATGCAGTGTTTAAGCTGTAGGGGATGCACAGTTCCATCCACAATGCTTTTTCACACATATATGAAACTGCTGGGTAAAGTAATTCAGAGATCTGGGGCGAACCTAACCTTGTGAGGCCTACCTTACATCCTCATATCTCAATTTCAAATTTAGATTACTATATAGGCAGTCCTCGGCTTACAACCACTCATTTAGTAATTATTCAAAGTTCGGCATTGAAGAAAACGACTTATGAACAGTTCTCATACTTAGAACTGTTGCAGTGTCTCCGTGGTCATGTGATTAAACTTCAAGTGCTTGGAAACCAGCAGGCATGTCCTGGAGTCATGTGATTGCCATTTGCGACCTTCCCAGCTGGCTTCTGACAAGCCAAACCAATGGGGGAATTTGGATTTGCTTAATGGCTGTGTGATTCACTTAATGGCCATGGCAAAAAAGTCATAAAATCAGGTGCACCTTACTTAATGACCACCTTGCTTAACTACAAAAGTTCCAATCCCAATTAAGATTGTAAGTTGAGGACTATCTATAATGCCAACAAAGGCTGTTCTAAAAGCTTCCATTGCTGCAAGTTGCCACTTCTCCATAAATAATGTGTAAGGCTGTTACATTCAGTCTCTACAATCTATACTAGTTGCCTGTTACTACTTATACTTCAAAGAGCTTATTGACACCCAAATATTTGCTGGAAAATTATTTCATGTATGCATTAGCCAGGCCTATAAATCTTGCTTGCAGAGCCACTGATACCTCCAGTCCAGTGGCTGATTTCAGCCTGAGCATTTGGGTTATGAGGTCTTTGCTATGGAACCCCCTAATATTTGCTCTTCATCTGGATGTTGCAGTGACGGACTGTTGTACGGTATTGTTTCTAATATTCTTGTATTGGATTCTCAATCTATAAACTGTTTCATTATTTTTATAGAAATTGTTCAATTAAAAGTAACAAACAGTAGAAATAAAAATGCAACACAACATTGATCGTAGATTTGATATTTTAAACATATTACATTGCAGTAGTAAAAAAAAAAATCAAAAGGTTGACCTTGTCAGTAAGTCTTATGAACAGCCTCCTGCTTGCTGACCTGATTCCAGACTAATCATATTTATAAATCTAAAATATATTTTTTTAAAAAACGCATTAATGTACCAAATGTATCTACATTGATACATATTTGCAACAGGACTGTTCTAAAATGTTTCCATTGTTTGTTGAATTGTGCACTACCTATTAGGAAGGTTAAAGCAGAGAGGTCAAAGCCTCTACATGCCAAAATCAAAAATAAAGGTTTTATTTAAACTTACTTTCTGTGTATCCAATTGTTGGCAGGCTTTCTGACTTTTTTCAAGGTCCCGTTGTATTTGCAGTTGCTCCTGCTTAGTCTTCAATCTCATTCTTCATAAGACAAAAGCCATAATCAGTAAATTTAATAGAAGACTGTATTTTGATAAGGACATTTTTCTGTTCTGGATATTAATAAACTCAATATGTGAGCTAAAACAGAATAGCTTCATCCCTAATATCTGAGGGATGAATACAAGATCCTCCAGGAATAGCTGGACATCCCGACATCATTCCACAATGATAATTTTGGGTGGAGCTGCTGAGTGCTGAATTAGATTCTACATTAATTTTATAGAATTTGACAAGAGATTTTATCTCTTTAGCTTTTACCTTGTGGTGCCAGGATTTATACTAGGGTCCTTCAACACACAAAATATATGCCGTCCAGGTTAAGTACAGCCCTTGCCTCAGTATACAATAGGCATTAGCAGTTAAGAGAAAATGTCAGAGGAATAAAATAAATGGAAAGCACTACTTGAAGAGATCAGTTGTCTGCTTTTCCACTTGTTTTTTCATATTCATTTTTTTTCTGTAGTTTTCCAGCATTTCTTCAGCTTTTCGTTTTTTTAATTCTTCATGGCCAAGCCCACTTCTTCCTGTCCCAAATACAAGGCAGTTGTTTGACTGATTGAGCAACACCATGTTTGAATGAAAAAAAAAGGTCAGTTATTTCACAAACCTGTAGTAATATTCAGAGGAATGGGCTCAACTATCCCCTTTCCTGCAGAAGAAAGAAATGTATTTGCTATTAGTAAAATAACATACGATCCCCTTGCTTCATTGTGCTTGCTATCTTTTATTTCCATATTTTAACTTTTTAATTTTATTGTAATATATTTGACTGCTGTGAGCTGTGCAGAGTCTTTGAGAACTGGACGGTATACAAATTTTAAATATTATTAATAGTAATAGTATTTACTGTATTCCCTTCTATATATTTTTATTTCTTATATTTTATACCTTGTTTTGCCTTTCATGAACTCAACAGTCTATTCAATTTTTCCCCACATTAAATAAACCTGTGAAACAGGTTTGACTGCAAGATCATATTGGATCTCTGGTCTTAAGGAACTCAGAAAGGTACCCCACTCTTCTGTAATCTTCCCAAGTCAGGATTCACTCTGTGAATTCTATTTTGTTTTTCTCCAATGGTTCAAAAAACAATGGCAGAGATTAGGGTTGGCAAGAACTAAACTCAAATCCCAACTCAGACACAAAGTGCATCAAGTAACTTTTGGATCAGTCTAATTTATTTCACAGAGTTGTTGAGAAAGTAAAATTGGGAGCAAAGCAAGAGAACAAATGTGTTATGTTGAGGAAATTCAGAATATAAATGTAATAAGTAAATTACTAGATGTCTTTGGCTCCCAGCTGCAGATTTTGTACCAGCGTAACTATTTATGGGGCAGTAAAACCTGATTCTTTAACATAGTCACACTTTAAAAACTGGATGTGGAAAAACTCACCACTTTTGCCAAGAGGTTGGCCACTTCTGTACCCCATCTTCTGGAGCATAGCAAAGCCTTTATTTTCATTCCCCAAAGCAACATTTAAAACCATGTCACGTTGCTCTTTTTCTTGTTCTTTGATGCTTTTTTGCCTACTTTTCTGGTTAGCCTCTTTTCCTTTTTCCTCTTTTTTAAAAGTTTCCTTTACACGTCTCAACATCGGCATTCCTGGCCTGATGTCCTGGCTGAACAAAGCAAATTATTTTGTTAATGCTCATACCAATGGCTTAGAAACTAACATGAATACAAAAGAAAAGGACATTGTATGCTCTTATAGCTGCAAAAAGCATAATTCTACAAAGATGAAAGGACATGTCTTCATTCTCAATTTTATAATAATCCGAGTTTAATTCTTTTCATAATTAGATAAGAGTTCTATGGTTAGGAGTTTCAATTGAAATATTCTAAATTTATTCTTATATTTATCTATAATTTTAATATTCTATGTTTTTGCCTCAATGTAAAAAAAATACTATATAATACATTAACATACTTTAAGGATTATTCACTATACATACTGAGTAATGAATTATATTAATAGTAATTAATAGTCTTACTGATTTTTACTTTTTATTTCTGAAAACAATAAAATAAATATGCCATAGAAAATTATTTATTATTTATTCGCCTGTATTTCTAATCTAATTCTGTAAATTATCTTCCTTGACGTTTTGTTCTATATGGGCAGAATTTTCAAGCAAAATGTGTATTTGAAAAATTGTTCCCAAGTTTTTAATTGGGTATTGGATATTTGAAATTTCATAAAGCCAGTTAAACTTCAGCATCCTTATTAGGCAAAGGCAAGCATGATATACTTAGAAAAACATCCACTTACTTAGTATTAATAAAGGAATCAGACATATAATCCTCTTCTGCGTCGTCCATGATTCATATCAATCGTCCACCTTCAAGCTTGCTACCTATAAATGCAGTTCATGATTATTTTAAAATGCATCAAAACCACTTTTCTTTCTAGAGGAAAATTTCATACTTATTAGATGCAACGCAACAAACTCTGATTTTGATCTTTGTGCATGATTGTTCCATAAGACCCTGATTTCTTAGCTAGCCAGAGCATCAGCATCAGCACAGGAGAAAACCAAAGCAGGGCAATGATAGGATGTTGGTCTTTGCCCTGTAAATCCCAGATTCAGCTCATACTCATTCGTGGAAACTCACTGGGGGAGGCTAGTTTATTTAATTCAACATACCTATCTAGACTGCTATTGTATAACTGACTGATCTAACTAACCATCACGCAACCCGCGGCCGCAACGCTCAAAAATTTCTCCTCTCGTTTGCTATTCCTTACCAATAACAAAAAAAAACAGCCCGCCACACTCCCCAAAAAAAAACAGCCCGCCACACTCCCCACTCCCCAATTCCTAAGCCGCTCCTGCGCCTGCGCGCCTCGGTGGCCTCACTTCCTGAGTCTCAAGAGCGCATGCGTCTGAGCCGGCGCTGCTACAGCTGGTTGTGGGGAAGGGCCGGATCGGGGGCGTAAACTGTGGCGACCTTCGGGGCTCTGGCTGGGTCGGTGGCCGCCGCTGCCTGAGGTGGGATGATCCGTCGGGAAAGGTTGGGCAGGGAGACGCGGGGCTTGCACTCGGTGGGGAAGAGCCCAAGGGGGAAGGGGATGGCAGGGCTGATAGGGCCATAAGAAGGAAGCGGGAGCGCAGGACCACGGCAGCCTCCCCGGGTGGGAGCCGGTTCACCGCGGGCTCCCCATTGTAGGGGATCCTTCGCCCTGGAGGCACCGCCCGCCGAGGTGGCATCCATCGTCCCTGCGGATGCTTTTCCCTGGATGGATGGCAGGTGTAACAATGACCCCGGGAGCTGGGACCTACCTTTTCTTTAGCCCACTGACCCAACTGACGGCAGCCTCTTAAAGGCCCCTTTCCAGTATTACACTTTGGACCGCCCTCCCGGGATAGTCTGCGATCCGGGTGGCAAAGCTCCGGGAACCGCTAGACCAGTGGTTCTCAACCTTTTTAATGCCGCGACCCCAACCGGTCATAAGTCGAGGACTAGACCGGTCGTAAGTCAAGGACTACCCGACAGGTCGTAAGTCGAGGACTTTCCCTGCCTGGGAGCACCGCGCACGCGTGGTTTCGTCCCCTGAGCTGGCCGAGGCGTAGCTGGCAAGCGGCAGAGACGGAGCAGGCCGACCACCAGCTGGCCCAGCCCAAGGGAGGTAAGGCACCCGCCGGAAAAGGGGGAAAAAATGGCGGACAAAAAAAATGGACAAAAAAAATGGTGGACAGCCTTGCTTGGCGACCCCCGTGAAATGGTCGATCGACCCCAAATGGGGTCCCGACCCACAGGTTGAGAACCACTGCGCTAGACGGCAGAAAAGAGGCGCCGTTTCCTGTGTGTCTCCTTGCTGCCGCTCAGGTTTTGGCAGTCTAGAGCTGGTGACCCTAGGATGCAAAGGATATACAGGTAGTCCTCGACTTACACCAGTTCGTTTAGTGGCCGTTCGAAGTTACAATGGCACTGAAAAAAGTGACTTATATGAATGACCATTGTTCACACTTATGACCATTGCAGCATCCCCATGGTCGTGTGATCTACATTCGGGATGCTTGACAGCTGGTTCATATTTATGACAGTTGTAGTGTCCTGGGGTCATGTGATCACCTTTTGTGATCTTCTGACAAACAAAATCAATGGGGAACCCAGGTTGACTTAACAATGGTGTTACCAATTTAATAACTGCAGTGACTCACTTAACAGGTGTGGCAAGAAAAATAATAAAATGGGGCAAAACTTATTTAACAAATTTCTCACTTAGCGACATACATTTTGGGCTCAATTTTGTTGTAAAGGCTCAAATGTGGTCGTAAATTGAGGACTACCTGTACTCCATAGTTGAGCCCAGGATGGGACATCCCCTCCTTTGTAATAAGCCATGTTTGCATAATATGCGTACCTGTCTATACATCATAACTGTTTTATTATTATTGATTTGCTGTTATTGCCCCATGGCCTTCCATTTCATCTAAGCGATTCTGGGAGGTTTGTAATGGATAAACATAATCCAATAAAAAATAAGTTAAAAACCAATATACAAATCTATAAAAGCTATTCATAATCAATTTACTAAATCCACATTTTCTTCTGTGTGTGCATGTTGTTCTGAACCATAAACTACTGTATATTTGGCTGCTTGGTGTTTCAGTATGTCATATCAGCCTGTGTGGGGTAAAGGGACTCCAGTATGGAACTATTTCACACATTATGCAACATCAAACCTGAATTTGTGAGGTGCCTCTACTGCTAATAAAAAGCCAGAGAAAATCCCAACTCTTACCATTGGTGGTTGAGAAGTTGGTTGGGCAGCAGCTTCAGAGAAGTCTGGATCTTTTTTTAAAAAATTGTATGCTTCCCAGAGTCCACATTTTGGATGGCTGTATGTATATTTATTTATTAAATTTTTATGCTGTTCATCTCCCCTATAAGGTGACTCTGGGCAGTATAAGTATGATGAAATAAAGTAATTATATCTGAATTTTCAGCTTTCAATGCAAAGTTTTAAATCAGTGCAAAGTTTTAAATTAAAAAGTTGTGTGAATAGACTCTATAGATTCAAAAGAAAAGTGTTCTTTGCCTGAATAATACATTAAGGGGCTGAAATCTGGCAATCAAAGCATATTTTTTGTTTCAACCTTGAGTAACTGTATTCTCATTTGCCTATTAAAACTTAAAAAATATTCTATATCAGATTTGCATGTAATAAAAGAGTTCTTTTTTTAAGATACACTTGCTGATTAGAATATTGTTTTTTCTGTTTTTATTTCATATTGATATTTCCTTGTTAATTTACATTGGAAATTGTAATACTTGAGAGTACATTTTTTTAAAAAAATGTAGGATCTGTATCTTTCAACAATATGTATTTTTGGAATTAAATAAAATACTACAGATTTCTAAAATTCATAGATAGACCTAAGTGAAACCATTTTGGATTAGATTTTACACTTTTGTCCACACTCTTATTAAGCAAACAATTAGTTACGGTACAATCATAGTTTTTTGTATCCTGTATATTGTATTTGTGTTTTTAATATGCTGTGAACCGCCCTGAGTCCTACGGGAGAAGGGCGGTATACAAATTAAATTAACCTTAACCTTAACCTTAACCTTATAGTATGTATTTGATGTGGTTATTGAATGATCCCTTTGGGGGCAAAGGTTGCACAGTACAAGGAATCATTGAATGTATTCACATAACATCTAAGCCACAAAAACTTTAACCAAATTGTCACTAGATCATACAAACAGCCTCCCAATCATTTTGGAGTTGAACAGTACCAAAATTTAATCAAATAAATATTTCTAGGTTTTTAAATGACTTAATAAGATGCACTGATTGAACACAGTAATAGTTTAGTTACCATATATGTGTACATCAGCACACATGTGTGCATGCACACATAATAGTCACATTATTATCATTGGTCTTCCACTCTTTTTGATAGAGACTATAAAAAATCTGTTGTTTGTAGCAGATATGTAGGTGATTGAGTTAATAAAAGACGTTCTATAAAAATAATAGATAAACCGATTCAAATGCATTTTAAGACTATTTTAGGTGGGATATTTTAAATATACTGTTCTTTGTTTTTCTATTTATTTGTATAACAGGAAACAAGGGTAGTATCTGTACAAAAAGAATTTAACCAGCTATGGAACTTGCTCATAGTTTATTATTGAATGAAGAGGCCTTGGCTCAGATCACTGAAGCAAAGCGACCAGTTTTTATCTTTGAGTGGCTACGGTTTCTTGAGAAGGTGGTTGTAGCTGCTAACAAGGTATACTTTTATTTTTTTATTATTAAATTTATTTGTTACCCATCTCACAGTTTGAGTTGACCTTTGATAATAGATTTTTTTCAGCCTTTATTTTTGTATTAATGACTCTTCTATAATATGACCAAATTGCCATGTCAGAAATATTTTGAACTGTTTGATAATGCATATTTACACAGAAACTCCCTCGGCACCTGGAGGAAACAGTCTATCTGGACCCGCTCCAGTCGGGCTTCAGGCCGGGATACAGCACGGAAACGGCATTGGTCACGCTGGTGAATGATCTCTGGAGGGCCCGGGACAGGGGTTATTCCTCTGTCCTAGTTCTTTTGGACCTCTCAGCGGCTTTTGATACCGTGGACCACGGTATCATGCTGCGGCG